ACTAGTGATGACGAAGGATCAGTTACTACTAGTACTTCATTATTTCCACCACCACCATATACTACATACGGATTCACCTCAACCAATACTGATGATGATGGATCTGTTGTTACTGACAGTGGAATTGTTATTGTCACTAGTGATGACGAAGGATCAGTTACTACTAGTACTTCATTATTCCCACCACCACCATTCACCACCTACAGTTTTGCTGAAATTAACACTGATGATGATGGATCTGTTATTACTGACAGTGGAATTGTTATTGTCACTAGTGATGACGAAGGATCAGTCACTACTAGTACTTCATTATTTCCACCACCACCATATACTACATACGGATTCACCTCAACCAATACTGATGATGATGGATCTGTTGTTACTGACAGTGGAATTGTTATTGTCACTAGTGATGACGAAGGATCAGTCACCACTAGTACTTCATTATTCTCACCACCTCCATATACTACATACGGATTCACCTCAACCAATACTGATGATGATGGATCTGTTATTACTGACAGTGGAATTGTTATTGTCACTAGTGATGACGAAGGATCAGTCACCACTAGTACTTCATTATTCTCACCACCTCCATATACTACATACGGATTCACCTCAACCAATACTGATGATGATGGATCTGTTGTTACTGACAGTGGAATTGTTATTGTCACTAGTGATGACGAAGGATCAGTCACCACTAGTACTTCATTATTCTCACCACCTCCATATACTACATACGGATTCACCTCAACCAATACTGATGATGATGGATCTGTTGTTACTGACAGTGGAATTGTTATTGTCACTAGTGATGACGAAGGATCAGTTACTACTAGTACTTCATTATTCCCACCACCACCATTCACCACCTACAGTTTTGCTGAAACTAACACTGATGATGATGGATCTGTTATTACTGACAGTGGAATTGTTATTGTCACTACTGATGACGAAGGATCAGTCACTACTAGTACTTCATTATTTCCACCACCACCATATACTACATACGGATTCACCTCAACCAATACTGATGATGATGGATCTGTTGTTACTGACAGTGGAATTGTTATTGTCACTAGTGATGACGAAGGATCAGTCACCACTAGTACTTCATTATTCTCACCACCTCCATATACTACATACGGATTCACCTCAACCAATACTGATGATGATGGATCTGTTGTTACTGACAGTGGAATTGTTATTGTCACTAGTGATGACGAAGGATCAGTTACTACTAGTACTTCATTATTCCCACCACCACCATTCACCACCTACAGTTTTGCTGAAACTAACACTGATGATGATGGATCTGTTATTACTGACAGTGGAATTGTTATTGTCACTACTGATGACGAAGGATCAGTCACTACTAGTACTTCATTATTTCCACCACCTCCATATACTACATACGGATTCACCTCAACCAATACTGATGATGATGGATCTGTTATTACTGACAGTGGAATTGTTATTGTCACTAGTGATGATGAAGGATCAGTTACTACTAGTACTTCATTATTCCCACCACCACCATATACTACATACGGATTCACCTCAACCAATACTGATGATGATGGATCTGTTGTTACTGACAGTGGAATTGTAATTGTCACTACTGATGATGAAGGATCAGTTACTACTACTACTTCATTATTCCCAGTTCAATCATCAAATGCTGATTTTGATCAGACAGCGGATGATACTAGGTCGAGTTCTTCTACATTATATGCGATATCGTCTAGTTTTATGTGGTATAATTCTTCTGCCCCAGCCTTTACTAGTAGTAGGGCTGAGGATGGACATACTTCTTTATCGAATATTCCTACTGAGACAGTTACCGAAGAGACTTCTGCAGAAGTTTCTACTTTTACAAAATTAGTTCCTGAAACAACTGCCGAAGAATACTCGGAGTGGACAATCACTACTGAAATCGTTATGACTTTATCAGATGGTAGTCTCACTACTCGTACTGCTGTTATTATTGATCCTATTGATTCTGATGGAAATTGGTACACTATAACTTCGTTCTTGGAGGATGTTGAAGAACCAATACAATTGAAATTGAACCAACCACTGATGATGTCAGTATTACAGAAGTCGTTCCAGAGGAAACTGAAGCTACAACAGAAGGTGGTTCCGATTGGTCATACACGACTGAAATTGTATTCACATCATCAGATGGTAGTGTCACTACTCGTACTGCTGTTGTGATTGATCCTCAAGATTCGGAAGGCAATTGGTATACGTATACTACATTCTTAGATGGATCCGAACAAGAACCTACTACAATTGATGTTACTACCGAAATCATCCCAGAAGAAACAGAAGTTCCAACGGAAACAGATTCAGATTGGTCATATACTACCGAGATTGTATTCACATTATCCGATGGTGTTGTAACTACACGTACTGCTGTTATTGTTGATCCTCAAGATTCGGAAGGCAATTGGTATACATACACTACATTCTTAGATGGTCCTGAAGAAGTCGCCGAAGAGACTGAGACTATTGCAGATGATACTACTATTGGTAACACTGATCCAGAGCAAACAGAAGGAGCAGATGGAATTGAAGAAGATTTAGTTACTTCTTTGGATAGTATCACAGAGATCATTCCAGAAATACCTACTGAAGCTTACTCGGAGTGGACAATCACTACTGAAATCGTTATGACTTTATCGGATGGTAGTCTCACAACCCGTACTGCTGTTATTATTGATCCTATTGATTCTGATGGAAATTGGTATACTATAACATCATTCTTGGAAGATGTCGAGGAGACCAATACAATTGAAATTGAACCAACTACTGATGATGTCAGTATTACAGAAGTCGTTCCAGAGGAAACTGAAGCTACAACAGAAGGTGGTTCCGATTGGTCATACACGACTGAAATTGTATTCACATTATCCGATGGTAGTGTCACTACTCGTACTGCTGTTGTGATTGATCCTCAAGATTCGGAAGGCAATTGGTATACATACACTACATTCTTAGATGGTCCTGAAGAAGTCGCCAAAGAAACTGAGAGTGTTACAGATGATATTACAACAGATGCTGTTCCAGAGCAAACAGGAGAGCCGGATGTTATCGAAGAAGATGCTACCATCCATGGTACTGAGACTAATACAGTTGCTGAAGGAGAAGATGCTATTGAAGTAGAAACCACCACAGCGGCTAACGATACCGATGCTAATGCTAATGCTAATGCTGATGCTGATGCTGATACTGATGCTAATGCTGATGCCGATGCTGATACTAATGCTAATGCTGATGCTAATACTGATGCCAATACCAATATTAATACTGTCCCCGAACAAGCTCATGGCCCAGATGGTATTGAGGTTGAACCAACCACAGATGACACTTCTATTACGGAAGTCGTTCTAGGAGAAACTGAAGCTACGACGGAAGCTGGTTCTGATTGGTCATATACTACTGAGATTGTTGTCACTGGTCCTGATGGCAGTGTTACTACACGTACTGCGGTTGTCATCGATCCTCAAAATACTGACGGTGAATGGTACACTTATACTTCTTTCTTAGATGATGGTGCTGCAGTAGAAACTGGATCTGCCGAAGGTACCACAGAAAATGTGGATGTTATTGATGTTGTTGATACTACTATTTTAGTCGGTGATACTACTGTTGTAGATATAGTGGAACCTACTAGCACAGATTTACATTCTGATTGGCCTTATACTACTGAAATTGTGATTACAGAAGCAGATGGAAGTGTTACCACTAGAGCCGCCGTGGTTGTTGATCCTCAAAATACCGATGGGGAATGGTACACTTATACTTCTTTCTTAGATGATGCTGAAGCAACAGATGTTGGTGCTGGCGAAGTACATCCATCAGGAACTATCAGCAGCAAAGTATATGTTACAGCAGCTGATGGCAGTGTTGGAACTAGAATTGTAGAATTGGAGGTTGAAGAAGATTCCAATTTGGTCCCAACTATTCTGGATAGTGGAGATTATGAAGATGGTTCTGATAATATAATTGAGAATGAAGGTATTGCAGCTAATGAGTATATCACTTCATTAGTTAGCACACTTCCAAATGGTGACGTAGCAACTGAAATTGTTAGAGTACTGATTGCCACTAATGCCGATGGTGCCTTGGAGAGTATAACTTACCCTGTTCTGTATCCTACTAACATTTTTAATGATAATGTGGATCAAGGTGAAGTTATTGTTACTACAAATGACAATGGAGAAATTTACTCAAGTACTTGTTTACTGGCAGGTGGATGCTTTACACCTGTGTATACTACAGAAATTGTATCCGAGTTAGATGACGGTAGTTACCTGACTGTTGTTGCTGCTGTTATTACTGGTGAAGATGCAGATGGTGTCCTATTCACTACAACTTCAATTATCCCAGCCAATGCTAGAGAGACAGCTACAGTATACACCACGGAAGTTCACAAGACTTATGAAGATGGTAGTGAATATGATGAATTAGATGTCGTGGTTGTTATAAGTGACGAAGATGGAATGTTTACCACTACTAATCTTTTAGATTTAGTTGAGCCAACTGGTATTGATGAAGAAGTTTCAGCAGATCCAGGTGTGTCAGGAATTGGATCTAGTGATAGTGGTGATATTGAGAATGGTGATAACTCTGAAGAAAGTGTTGTCTCACCTGTAAGTTTACATGAAGAATCAGAATTTGTTAATAGTGCAGGTACTATTTCATCTTCAACTTCATGGTGGATTATTTCTACCATATTAATAATGGCTATGATTTAAACCTAGGACAAGTTCCAGTTTGAAATTTATTTTAGTTTAGTTTATATTTAGTTTGATTTTCTTTTCGGTTTCCAACAACGGCCTGGTGCTTAGTTGTTAGTTTTCAATTTTATTTATCGGTAATATATGTTTAACATGTTTGAAATTCCTACTTGTAGAGTAAAGTTGTTATTTTGGTGCTAAGCAGAATTTAAGACAAGGTTAGTATTTTGCAATAATGGACCCAAATTGGTTATCGTAAAAGTTACCCGACCATAAGATCCAGTAAAATTCAGACCACGAGTAAATAAGAGAACACATTTAAATGTTTTTTTCTTAATTTTTATCATTTCGCACGACGTCTAAAATTTTTCACTCTTCTCCTCCTTTGATGTATAAAGAAAAAATTTTAATATATATATTCCATTATAATACCTTTTTATATTTTTCTTTCTTTTCTTCTTTTTTATCATCATCAAAGTAATTAACAATGAAGTACATCCAAACTGATCAAATCTTAGACATCCCAGAAGGTGTTACCGTCTCCATCAAAGCTAGATCCATCAAGGTTACTGGTCCAAGAGGTGAATTATCCAAAGACTTAAAACATATCAATGTTACTTTCGTCAAGGTTAACGATAAAGCCATCAAGATTACCGTCCACAATGGTGACAGAAAACATGTTGCTGCTTTAAGAACTGTTAAATCTTTAATTGCTAACTTGATCACCGGTGTTACCAAGGGTTACAAATACAAGATGAGATATGTTTATGCGCATTTCCCAATTAACGTTAACGTTATTGAAAAGGAAGGTCAAAGTTACGTTGAAATCAGAAATTTCTTAGGTGAAAAGAGAGTCAGAGAAGTTAAAATCTTTGATGGTGTTACTGTTGAACAATCTGCTAACCAAAAGGATGAATTAGTTTTATCTGGTAACTCTTTAGAAGCTGTTTCTCAAAATGCTGCTGATATCCAACAAATCTGTCGTGTTAGAAATAAGGATATCCGTAAGTTCTTAGATGGTATCTATGTTTCCGAAAGAGGTCAAATTGTTGAAGATTTATAAATTAATTAATAGATTTTCATTTAATTTTTTGCATCATCATGTTTCATATCATTAATTCAACCAACCAATCAACCAACCACATAACTTAAAAGTTTTTTTATGTGTTTAATTTTAATACATTTTGCTCTTTTATATTTCAGCTTGTTTGCTTCTTTAGTTTTCACAATTTGGGTTTCCTTTTCATTTCTATTATTTTTCTTTGTTCACTTTATAGTTTTATGGTTAAACTACTTTACCCAGTTTGATTACTTCAGATATTATGGATTTGTTATCGTGCTCAATACAATGCAGAGCCACCAACGATCCATTTCGTAGCCTAAAAGTTTTATCTCTATCATTTGCGATGAATTAGTTCTTGTAATTTTGAGTAAGTTTTATTACTATTGAAATTATGATTAATTCAGACTTTTTTGAACTGTTTGCATTGTTATTGAGCTTTAATTAATGTTTATTATTAAGATTGATATCTTTTATCGAATGGTTTTGATTAAAGAAATCAATTTTAGTAATATTTCTAATTTTGTGGTTTTCCAAATTTAGCGGTACCGCTTAATCATTTCTCGTGATGAAAAATTACCTGAGACTGGTATAAATTTGTATTCAGCTAAGTCTATTTCAACCATTTATTCTATCATAAACAATTACAAGCATAAGTTAGGTATGACTATTAAAGTTGCATTCTTAGGCCCTGAAGGTACTTATACCCATAAAGTAAGTAATATGTTTTGAAATCTAGTTTTAAAAGGATTAATACTAACTTTTTTACAGGCTGTTTTACAACAATTTAGAAATGATTCACTGAATCAAATTGAAATATATCCAAAGAAGTTAATAGATGATTGCTTCACTTCTATAGATTCTCGAGAAGTGGATTATGCTGTGGTACCAGTAGAAAATTCAACCAATGGTCAAGTTGTATTCACATATGATTTATTAAGAGATTGGTTCATACCGACTTCCACAACCTCTAATACTAGCGAAATGCCAACCCCACCAAACTCAGCAGGCAGTGGTATATCGTCTCAACCTCCTAAATTCAAGATAGTGGCTGAACAATTCGTATCAATCCAACATAATTTCCTTACTAATGCTAAAGATTTATCTAAAATCAAAACCATATATTCTCATCCTCAAGTTTGGACGCAAGTTAGTCAATTTTTCAAATCAAATAAATTGGATTTCTCGAAAGTTGCCAAAGTTGATGCTACATCGACTTCAAAAGCAGCTGAATTTGTGTATCATGATAAGTCTAATACAACTGCATGTATTGCTTCTAATATGAGTGCCGAATTATATAATTTACCCATTGTTTATTCCAACATTGAAGATAATTCCAAAAATACAACTAGATTCTTAGTGTTAGGATACGAGCCAGCACCAGTAATATCAAGTCCTACCACTCCACCTAAACAAACTCCTGATGTCACGTCGGTGATATTGACTTTAAATCATGATGATCCAGGTGCATTATGTGACGTGTTAGTTAAGTTTAAAAATCATAATATCAATTTATCATCAATCAGTTCAAGACCATCTCATTTAAAACAATGGCAATATGTGTTCTTTATAGAGATGTTGGCTGATTTAAATAACAATCTAGAATTGAGCCATGTGATCGATGACATTTCTACAAGCTGTCAAACGTTGGTGGTGCTTGGATCATTTAAAAGAAGTTGGAGATATTATTCTTAAAAAAACTACAAATAGCATTTATATAACGATATAATATATGTATATATTCATACGTATGAAATAATAAGATGTAATTAAGACGAAAACCCTAAACAGTGTAAAAATGACATAAAGGAATGCAACAATTAATAAAAGGTTAAATGATGATAAACTATGAATACGTATAATAGCAACATGAACTTACCATAAGGAAAGAACTGAATGAATTGGACTTAAAGGGAGAGGTAGAAAATTAGACATGACATGACATAAGTTAAAATGATTAACGCTGACTAAGTACCCAATTTTTGATATTCCCATGGTGTATTATCTAATGGACATGCATTTCTTGTCAATAGCCATCTTCTTATACAATGCATGTGGAAAGCATGATTACAAGCACCCCATGCTGCAATACAAGCTTCTTGGTTTGATCCAGGAGCATTTGGTTGACATTCAATACATGGTTCCATCAAATGATTTCTGCAAATAGCACAGTTTTCAATTTGAATATCTAGAATAAAATATGTTAGTAAAAACCCCAGGACTCAAATGGAGATTAAAAAATATATATACATACCCCAAGACCAAAATGCAACTGCTGTCCATTTTTTAACTTCAAATTTAGCCTTTGGACCTTTGGTTGTAGCACCTCCATCAACTATTTGATTCTGTTGTTGTGTTGTAAGGGCATCAGCTTCTAAAGTAAGTTGGTGACTGTTAGTAATCATTCTGATTTCTATATTTGGAATCAAGCGGTTACTTGATAATTATGTAAAACAATACTTACCACTATCTATATCCATACGATCAGCCTCGTCAGCCATGGCTGTAGATCAATCAATTGAAGTGTTATAAGTAGAGATGTGAGGTATGATCTCTATATCCTTTATAACCACTATAACTGGATTACAAAAAGAAGTATCGCCAAAATCACAAACAAACGAAAAAAAATCTAAAGCTGTAGAATTTCTACTCGCAAATTTTCGTGTCTGATTGTCATAAATTGTAACCATATTGTCACCACTTAATCAAATCAATTGGTGATAGTAGCATTATAACGGGACAGGATGGCGAAGGAAGAACTAATATCATCGTTGTATCCACCCCCTCCTCCGTATGTTAAGTTTTTCACTGACGAAAATCTCAATAAATTGGAGGATTGGAAAGTGAATAAAGCCCAACAACAACAGCAGCAGCAACAGCGGGAGCTACAGGATGGTGAATCAAAGGAGGAAGAAGAAGAAGAAGATATTGTTCCACCAGGAGAATTGAGGTTTCTTGTTCCACCAAAAGCTCCAGAAGGTAGTCATTACCGTGGTTATGGTAATATATGGTCATTTGAAGATAAATTGCCTAGTTTAAAAAGTGCCAATTGGGAACAGTTATATCCAGATGATGATGAATCAATCACATCAGAAACAAAAATTAAAGAGTTACATAAATTATCCGATTCATTATTATTGAATTTCCTTGAATTGATTGGAATAGCAAGTATAGATCCTCAACAATATCAAGGTAAAATCAAAGATATCTCACTTATTTTAATTAATATCAATCATTTATTAAATACTTATCGACCCCATCAATCAAGAGAGAGTTTAATCATGCTCTTGAGAAAACAAATAGACGTCAAACGAAATGAAATCAATCAAATTGACAAAATTTCCCTGGAAATAAAAGCTAAAATTGTTAAATTAACTCAAATTGATGATTTGAAAAGTAATGATAGTATTGAATTTGAACAATTTAGTAAACGTATAGCGTCTGCTTCATCGGCTTCTTCAGGTAAAGACGCAATTAGAGATGATATAATAACGAAACTTCTATCAGATGTATAGTAAAACGGATATATAGGTATATATAAAAAATATTAAAAATGTATATTAAAAGACTTTTTTTTATATTACTAAAAGAGATCTAATAAATCTTCACTTGGTTTACTAGACCTTGTACCGGTATTAGGGATAGAAGGAGATGGAGATGGAGTTGAAACATTCAAATTACTGAAATCTTGATTAAATGCAGCTGATTGTGCTGGGGGTGGTTGATTAGTATTGAATAAATTCAATATATCATTAATACTACCAGCACCACCATTGGCAGAAGCTGCAGCCTGTGAATCCTTTTGAGGAACGGCCGGAGCACTGAATAAATCATTCAATTCATCTAATAAACTAGCGGATCCACCATTAGTATTACCATTATCATTTAATCCTTCTTCGTCATCATCAAAATCAAGTAAGTTTTCATTCTTGGAATTGTTTATAATCTCTGATTTAGCTAATTTAGTCAAATCTTCTATGTTTGATTTACTTGTTTTCAAACGTTTCTTACCATCTTCAGTTTGTAATGATGAATAAGCATTTGGATCAATAAATGTGAATGAAGGTTTATGGTATACTGATGATAATGTCGATAACTCATTAACCAATGCTTCTAATACAACTGGATTAAAAGTAGATATGGTTGTTTTGATAGGAGGTAATTTTGCTAAAATAATCTTTTCTTTAGCTGATGAAGATGACGAGGAAGATAATAATCTCCAGTAGATATAAGCTTTATCTCTAACATCGGCATTTTCACAATCCTTAGTGGCTAATTCTAAAATAGTTTGTAAATAATTAGAATATTGAGCATTATTTTCTGAAACTAAATTAATTTTAACTATAGTTGTTAAACTTAATAATTGTAATGAAGAATCAAATTCTAAGAATCCATCAATTAAGAATTTTAATTTATCACTTAAATGAGAGAAATATTTTGGATATTCTCCTAATAAATAAACATAAGAAGATAATGATTCGGGAGTATTTAATTCATCAATATGATTGGCAATAACTGGGATAATTAAAGTTATTAAATCATTCTTACCTGGATATCTTCTTAAAATATTAGTTAATACCACAATTGAATCATTGACAATTAATTCACCACCTCTTTCATCAATTAAGTTGATTAATAAATTGATTGATTTTATAACACTTCCTGGTAATTGAATAGCCACCGATCCAACACAATTGATAGCTTTTGTAACTAATACTGGTTCAATTTCCATAGAATATTCTTTTAATTCACCTAATAATAAAGCACTATTATTATCATTAGCTAATCTTATCATGATTTCCAATTTCTCTAGTTTTAAATATAATGGATCACTATATTTTATAAAGAAAACTCTTAATTCTTTGGATAAAATTTGGGGGTATTTTTCTAATAAGATTCTAATATTTTTTAATCCAACGTATTGAGCTTCTGGAATAGAAGAACTAACCAATGAAACTAATGGAGCTGATAATTTTCTTAAAATAGATTGTCTTTGAGCTGTAACAGGAATATTTGGTAAATGTTGTAAAATAACTTTTATTGAACTTAATACTACTGATGGATTAGCATGTTGTAATTGAGGGATCACTCTATCAATGATATGAGTTGATTCTTCTTGATCAGTTGTAGAATAATCATTTAAAGTGGTTAGTATAGTGATTCTTCCCCATTCCGTACATTCATTAAGACATAATAATAAATTCTTAATGATTTCTTCATTAATTTCAAAAATCGATAATTCTGGATCATTATTCATATCTTTAATTTCATATAATGCATTCAAAGCATTGGCCACTACCATTGGATTTGAATCTTTAATTAATGCTTTTAAATCATCTAAGAATCCTAATTCAATACAAATCTCAGGATTAAGATCAAATAATTTAGCTACTCCAATAGCAGCAGTTTTACGAACATAAGGATTATCATCTTTTAAAGTTCTCAGTAATGGGATTTCAATATAATCTACCATTCTAGCCACTCTGATACATCCCATAGTTCTGATTGCCAATGCTCTAACCAAAGGATTTGGATCCTCTGTATCTTGAACAAAAGTATTGACGGCCAATATACATAATTCAGGATGAGTCTTGGCATAATTCATAAGATAAAGATAAACCAACTTCTTCTGTTCCAAATCATAAGTGGCAATATTCTTTAACACATCTGGGAAAAGTGACGAAACATCTTTACCAATAGTCATGGCTTGAATCACTCGTTGAATGGCATCTTTCCTTTCATGTTTATATTGTGATACCAATCCGTTTCTTAATTCGTAAGTCTCCCCTTTCCTAGGACCTTGTAAGAATGATCTGATCTTCTTCTCAAGAGCCGCTGACATTGACTGCATTGACATGATGAGCAGATGGAAGTATTTGATAGATTACGATGGGATTGATTATGATTCGTTTCCCTTAACCCTTTTGAGCAAAGTGTTGTCAATTTCTAAGTTGTTTGAAAAATGCGGTCTGTTTTGATTTTTTTTGGTCAACGCGCATTAACTAGGATTTTAAGTGAGGGTCAGATCTTGCCTATGTTTTGATCTGAGAGTGATTCACAATCAATATAGAAGAAGAGATGGTATAGATGGCAGTGTATGGGAATGTAAAGGGGTTGAATCGAAGAAAGAGATTCAAACTGCTGTCAGAAACACTGGCTCTCTTTTCCAGTGATGAAGAAGAACCTTTATCATCTGAGGCTACAAATGGATCAGTTGCAATTACAGATCAAATACCTCCAAGTTCAGATAAGTTAATGGCAGCTATTTCTAGAACTGCTAATGATGTTGTATCGACTCAATTGAATAAGGAAGATTTATTGCCATCGATTCAATTAGACAAAGAACTTAAAAAGCGACCTTTACATGTGAAACGAACTAAACTCCACAAATTCGATAGATCTAATATTGAAGATGAAGAGGATGAATTAACCAAATCACCTAAGAAATATACGAAAGTTATCAATGTGATTCAGAGCTCACCAACCAAGAAGAGTTCAAGTCCATTAAGTACACCACCTAGAATTAAGAAATCAAATCTAATGGCAAAATTCATCGCGGTTGCAAATACACCTCCTACCAAAGTATTATCCAAAGTTGACAAGGTAAGAGCGTCATCACAAGTAGTTATCACTACTCCGAAGGAGAAATCTGCATGGGATGATTTATTTGATAATCTTGGTGATAAAATTGAAGTACCTCCTTCTGTACAACAGATGGAAAGTGAGTCGGATCTTGATGATGAAATTGACGAAGAGGATGAAGATGATAGTCAAGAAGAAGGTGAGGTATCTAATATTGATTTCCAATCTATTTATGATTCATTCGATACTGCCAATAATGAAGAAGTCAAACCATCACCGGGTTATGCCAAAATTCTAGCTGATAATGTTCGAGTAAAGACGTATAGTTCGGAACGGTCCTTCTTATATGAAGAATCAAAACAAACCCAACCTACCACTAATAAACATGAACATCACATATTAATCAGTGATACTCATGATTTTGCTGTTGATGTTGATAATGAAAAATTAGTGAGTATTAATGATTTACGAAGTTTAGGAAAATTGAATGATGTTAATGATAATTTTAATTTTATGATTGAAGGGTTGGAGTTGGTAGAGGATCCAACTGTACTGATTGAATCATCAAATTCTATACTAATCTCAAGTTTGATTGATTTATGTATTGAATTGTATGAACATAAGACGCTATCACAATTCTTGACATATCATAATTTAATCATTCCAAAGTTGAACCGAATTATAACTCAATTGATTCAGTATAGTGACAGCAAGGGTAAGGATTTGATAGTCTCATTGATTGGTAAAGTCATGTTTCAATATATTAAACATGGAGATGATTTAGTTAAAGATCAATTGATGGAGTTGAGGTTGGTCCCTATCATACTAAGCTTTTGCCTTAAGGGGATGAATAATGAAGTCAAGGAACTACAGGTAAATGCCTTTAATAAGAATCGATTAAAGAAATTAAAGATAAGCCATGATTTGATTAATGAGTTTGGGGAATTGTTAGTTAAATTCCGAAGTTGGAATATCTTTTTAGTTATGGAAGATCAATTAAACCAAACTAATATGAAAAGGTCTATCATATTGGATTATTTTGAAAATTATTTTGAACGTAATTATGAAATTCAAAGGTTAACCAACTTTTCAAATCAATTGTATATGCATTATTTTAATAGATTACAAGAATTGGGCCATGAAGAAGAGAACTTACAAATTTTAAAAATCTTAGTGATCTTAACTACTAACTATTCATATGAGGAGTATGAATATGAATTAAGAGATATATATCGACTTGAATATTTGAAATCGTCAATTGAATCAATCCCAAAGTTGATCCAACAAAATCAAATCAATTTATCATTATTTTTATGGGGTTATTTAATCAATTTTATAGAATCAATCACGATTAAAGTGATCCCGTCAGAGATCATACAGAACGTAGCATGGTTGAATCAACAACCTTCACAGCCAGAGAAAGAGGAATCAATCCATTTAATGGGATACAATTGCATATTTGTAAGTTATTTACAATTACAACATCGTCATAAAGATGTCGGCATTACATCTGATGATTTAATTATTCGATTGAATCATTTTAAGAAGCATATTTCCAATCGAGGTATTATAGAAAAGATTAATCATCTTTTACAAGAATTAAAAGATTTATAGATAATAAATATCTTCTTCTTTCTTTTCTTCTACATTGATAGTATTGATATAAAAAATCATTTAAAAATGTATATTTTTTTGTTTTGGTTTTACTAAAACTAGAATATCATTAATAGTAAGAACACGACAGAATGTGATGTTTAGACTGTAGGGACATGTGTAAGTATGATGAAATACGGTATGAATAAGTACGTGTTAAGATAAGTCAGTTATTGACAAGTCAATGACTTTTTTGTTATGAAGATGAAAATGAACATGAAAAAAGGGTAAGATGAATATGCTAAGGAAGGATGGAAGGAACGTATGAACCCAACCAACGCATCTATTCTTCTTTAAGACCACAGATGGCTCTACCAGTGTAATATAATGGGAAAGCAGTAGTGACAGCAAAGAGAGCATAGAATGGGTAAACTATTAATTTACCTTGTTTTCCTCTTAACCATAATGGTTTGTTGACAGATTGGTATCTTCTTTGTAATTCGATAATTCTTTGTGGATCCATTTTGTATGTATGATATATGTGTGTGTGTGCTGTAGTTGTTATTTCTTTATCCAATTGAATGAAAAGAGTGAACGACGACTTTAATGAAGTTATGATAAAGTTATAATTGAAGTCAACTTGTTTAGTTTTATAATTGTACGATGAAGTTACCTTTTTTTTATCAGTTCATTTTTCTTCACCTTGTTTGTGTGCAGGTCCAAGTATTTTATTTTTGATGGAATTCATTGGTGGGGGACAAATTGTATGAGTTTTGTGTAATATTTGATTTCTTAACTATGTAAATACACCTATAAACACTATTAAAATACCTTTTTCTATAAATGCTACCTACTTCTTAATCGTCTTCATCATCAGAAATGACTACTTCCATTCTTCGACTTCTTGGATTGGTTCCATCTCCTCCATTGGCTCCTCCTCTTGATCTTCGTATTACTATCCGTGGTTCATCATCATCTTCACTGGAGATATGATGTAATTCAGTTTCATGAAATTCTTCAAGAGCATCACGTAAATCTTCACTATCATAGTATTGTCTCAGCAGATTCACATCATCCTCTTCATCACTAAGTTCAATGGCATCTGCTTCATGATGGGCTTGATGATGTTGGGCATGATGATGTTCATGAATATGGTCATGATCATGATCTGCTATATCAGTAGTGCTATTGGCAGGACTTTCGAATCCTTGCCAATCACTCTCTTCTGAATGAACACTTCGAGGTCGATGATGAATGGTTTCACTATCATAATCTTCATCATCTTCATCAGTAGAAAGTAAATCATCATTAGAATTGGTTTCCAACATAATCTCCGTTAATCCTCTTGTATCGACAAAACTATCTTCACTATCATATTGTTCATCTGGTATTCCCATATCTCCATCGATATCAACATCATCATCATCACCATCTTCATCATAATCTTCTCCTTCCATAGAATCATAATAAAATTCTTGACTTCGACTTCGATTATCATCATTAGGATCTTGGATTCTAAATCCACAATGATTACAGATCGGACCTCTTGCTTCCCAATGACAATTCCCACATCTCGGCACTCCATCTGAATTATCCATTACCGTTATAGATGTATGATTAAACACATTATCAAATAATGATTTACCCACTTTATCAGCTTCATAAGTTTCGAATTGTTCATTCCGATGATTGATTAATTTCAATTTATCTTCATTATTATCATCATTCAATTCGATTTTTAAATCTTGAATGTTTTTAGTGATTTCCTTTAATGATATGTTTAAAATTGGTTTATGTAAGATATTAAATCTACAACTTGGACAATTTAATTTATTTCGAAACCAATTTTTAAGACATTCATAACAGAATGTATGTCCACATTCCAAAGTATATGGAATATTCATCGTATCTGAACATATTGAACATTCAACTGTAAGACTTATTTTCGATAATAAATTAGATGTCAAATCATGATCCTATAGTAGGTTCAGTTTGTTAGTAAAATTAATGTTCTTTTATTCCATTTCAGATGGGGTTGATTCGATACATACGATATTGCTCCATATTTTGTGTTCGGCATCCATATTGACCGATATGTTTATGACTTATTCACTCCACTGTTCTTGATTGTACTGGCTAAGATATAATTATACTGTGATTGTTTAAAATGGCGTATCATTCATTTTTATTTTTTTTTTGTTTGTGGATCTGAGGGTGACAGAAAAATTCTAAATCAGGAAATTAACTGTATAATTACAATTGTATTATTAATGTATATACAAGAATATGTATGCTAGGTATATATGTACATGTCTACTATAAATCTCGTTTAATCCATTCGTCAAACAATTTAAACGTATTGTCCATCACTACGATTAAGTCATTATTATCTTGATTTAATCGTAATGAAATATCCCCAATTAATCCTCGTAATTTAGTAAATGCCAATTTAGAATCACGTCTTAACTGTTTACAATCAGTCTCACGTCTTTCAACTACTTTGGCATTATAATGTTTGACCTTTTGACGCATTTTCTTTTCGATGAATTTACATTGATTTAAGAAATATTGATTCAATACCACCTTATCAATGGGGAATTGATCAATTAAATCAATAATTGGTTGAAATTGATTAAGGTCTATATAATTCCTCACGAGGAAGTTGAATTGAAACTGTTTCGATTGATTGTTTAATTCACTCGTTTGAATCGAAGTTAATAATTCAATCGATTGATAATTTAATTTATTATTGAACAAAATCCGACTTAATAAAAGCTTTTGATTATTAGTTAATTCAAGGAATAGTTGCTGATCCAATAAATAATGGGATCGGATATCATCTCTCTTCCAATTGTTTACTTGCATGATATATATATCGAATTCGAATTTGTTAATCTTAGTGTATAAGCGACAATGTTTCATGAACTCAATTAAGATTTGTTGATTTGGGATATTTACTTTTCGGAATGTTGTTTTGAACAAGTTTAAATCAGGACGAATATTATTCTCGATTAAATTTTGAAATCCTTCATTTGATAATCGGAATCGTATAACTTCTTTCGTTTGAGGTGAGTTCCATAATGCTGGTTTCCAATTCTCATCTAATATCGTAAGTGTCGTATCATGATAATCTGCAAGATCATATGGAGTCAATTGTGAATCAATTTTAATAATCTTTAACGAATCTTTCAAAATAGTTTTGATTTCGTCAGGTAAGGTTGAGGCTTTCAACCATTGACGGAATTTCGTAAGGAACTCCACTGATAATTGAGGATAAGTCTTTACAAAACATTGGAAGGCGGTTTCAATATAATTTAAATTGAATTTTGAATTATTATGATATAATTCATCATAAAATTTAATCAATGATAAATAATTTTGATGTTCGATGTAATATGTTGCAATTAAATTTAAGGTAGTGGATGATATAGGCATATTATCTTGTTTAAGATTCATAAGGATTAAATTGATATAATTGAAATCATCAATATATTTCAAACTGAATTTCAAAGTTTGATCGTAAAAATCAGCCAATTGTTCCGGATTCGAGATTGATCGTTTAATGATTTTAAATCGATTTAAATCTGATTTCACTATCATTTTTTTAAACTTTGATGGTTGTCGATTTATGATTTTATATTTCAAATCAACTAAATCAATCATATACATATCTTCTGAACTTTGATCTACTTGATTTATCAAATGGCGGAAATTATCAATCTCTTTAATACTTCCATATTTATAGTACTCCAGTAATAACACTGATAAAAGTTTGATCGATAATGGACCACCATTATTCAACCATATGGAGAAAATTAAAATCAATTCTTCAAACATCACATTTATAGCGATCAATTGTTGAATAATCGTTTCTATCAAGATTGGTTCAAGATTATGGGTGGATGTCTTCCCCTTTTTTTGCATCATTAATTGTTGTAAGAGGACTTTAATATAATTTATCTCATAATTATTGATGAATGCCGAGAAGAAATATGATAAAACTTTTTGATTCAACGTAGATGCGAAGGAAGATAAATAGGTTGGGATGAGAGTTTCCAAACTCTTTAGATCATTATTATGATATCCTAACCAGATAAGATACTCTTCAAATTGTTGATTCGGGGATTGATGATCATAATATCGTGAAGTTTTATGAATGGTACAGATGGAATTTATATAATCTAATTTCCGATATAAAGGTTGATAATATTCGGAATTGATATATTTGATATTCTTCATACCGGTGAATTTCGATTCTTCAATAAGACATTCACTAAGATGGAAAGTAGTTGATGGAGATGGTAAATCCCGGAGGATTTCTTCAATTAATTGATTTATTTGAAGGGTGGATATACTTATCAAGGGTAATTTATCAATCAATGATGTTAAACCAGTATAACTTCCACATAAATCTAATAATTGTTTAAACTGTTCATCTCTTTCATTATCATCATTCGTGGTGGTGGTAGTTATCACTTTCACAATGGATGGAGATGCTCTTTTCAAATAAGTTAAATTCAATTGATCAATCAGATTTCGAGTATGAGTGGATTTAATGGAGGTTGATTTATTATTACTTTTAAGGACTTGAACCACTCGATTAGGAACTTCTCTTGTTAACCAACTGAAATAAGTTTGATCTAATAATTGTAAATTCGAAACAAATGGATGATTTACAGCATGGAATTTAGGTCGTTGATTTGATGGTTTATAATTCTTAAGATTAAGATAAATATTCTCACAAGTTTTTATAAATGGGAATCGTCGTATCATCGTGAAAGGAAAGTCGGTATGGTATATGAATGATAGGGATAGTTCATAAAGATAGGCCTTGTATGAATGAATGCAAAAATGAATGATAATATTTTAAGATTGAATGATAAATAAATAAATAAATGAAAGTTATATATGACTAAGATAGTAATGAAGATGGGGAGTAAACTATTAGTTTGATTGATCAATTGGTTGGGACTATATACAAGGAATCAATCAATATGAACTTTCAAAAAGATAATGTAAGATTAGATCTAATAACTTTATTGGATGTAACTATATTTTTAACAACTTTTTGGCGGTCAAAATTTTTTTTCCAGCTTTGGTGTTTGGTTTGGTGATACCTAAACAGAAAGTAGGAGAGAGACATTTCTATGGTACGATAAAAAATAGTATGAAGAGAGACATTTGTCGTACGCGTGATCAGTCATGTGACAACCTAATCCTGCAGATAACTTGATTATAATTTATATCAGTATCAATTAAGATTAATCAAATTTTGAATTAATATAATACTATATGATAGATAATTAATCTGTTAATAAGATATCTAAAGATAAGATATATTGAATAGGGTAAATGGAAGCACGGTAAATCCAGCAATTAAGGCAAAATTATGGTCGCAAATTGGAATCGCTAAGAACGCTAAGAAATTATGACAAGAAATATTTGAAGTAACTAAATAATAAATAAACAGTTACAAAAACATAAAATAATGGCTGTCAAAAATAGAAGATCATTTAATTTAAAGCTAATTTAAGTAAAAGTTGGGTTACTTTTATGATATTGAATGAATAAAAAGAAAGAAAGAGTGAAAGAAAGAAAGAAAGAAAAGATATGGGTTAGTTCATCATATTAGTAATAGAATAAAGGAGAGAGGAGAAGAGGGAATTTTAATTTTAATTTAATTTTAATTAACGTTTAGAGGACAAGGCTGAAAATTGTAAGGAGACAGAAATTAGTGAGGGAATAGAAATAGTGGAAGTTGAAGAAGTGGAGTATAATGAGATATTTTAATGATAATAGGGTATGGCATAAGAAGAGGACTTTAAGAGATGAGATGAAGTTTAGATTATACATATTTCATTCATTGATACTTACTTACTCAATATTACCATAAACTGTTATAAGGAACGTGTATTATCACTCCATGACAAATTGATTATTTCTTTTTTAGTGAGTGAGAAATGACTTAGCGACAAATTTTTTTAGTGAGAACATACTGTCTGTCAACCCCCACTGTTCAGTACTATGTTTAGTGTATGCTTCTATATGATGTAGTTAAAGTAATAGTTGTAGATATAGACATTATATAATAGATCTCCATATGGTTAAGATATTATAAAAACATGAGATCTCTACTTAAAGTCTAAGTTTTGTTCCTCTTTCTCTCTTTCCCTATACAGTTTAAGGTTAGGACGCCTAGAGACAGACAGATAGGCAGAAATTTCTTTTTTTCTGTAACGGTGATTGAATTTTACTGTGAAGTTCTAAGACAGTTAGAGAGAGTGAGGGAATTTCTTTTTTTTTTTTTGCTTTTTTTTTCCATGTGGTATAGTTACCTTTAAATTGAAGAATAAGCATTTTATAAATTTAGTTACTTATATCTATCATCAACTATTCACTTTATGACTACTATATAGCTACACACGCTACAGTATCATACACTCATATAATACTACTACAACAACAACATCATCATCATCTTTCTTTCTTTCTTTCGCACTAGTGTTCAGTTATAATTCAAACATAACTCACACAAAAACATAGTCATCATCAGATTTTTCTTAACTCAAGTCAAGTCTAAATATTCTTCTTCCCTTCACTTGACTTCTTAACTCGTGGATCAAACTAGGATTTTGAATTGCAAAAGTGAAACTTAAGCTAATAGTTGATATCTTAATGAATTTTTTGATGAATTAATCTTATAACTCATCATCATTATCCTCCTCGTCAAGATCAAACTAAAGGTATCATCATTTACCTTTCCTTGTTTCCTTTCCTTTCCTAAATGAGTACTTTTTAAATCGTCAATAAAGAAGTGTTTATAAGTCTATTTATTTAATTAATTAATTAAATCAATCGTTTAATCAATCAAATACTTTCACCATGTCTGATTGTGATAGTTACCATTCTCAAGACATTCATCATGTCCATGAAGATCACCATCGTGATGATCATCATCACTCTCATCATGATTCTCATGCCCATGATGATGATGATCATGATAGTCAAAATTTAAATGATCATAGACATCAAAGATCAAATTTTACTGAACCTGAACCTCAACCTCAACAAGAAGATTCGGCTATTTCTGATTCCGGAGATGAAGATTCTCAACCTCAAGAACAACAACCTCAATCACCAAGAAGAATTGAAAAACAAAAGACAAGTTCATCAGGATCATCCTCTTCTAGAAAACATTCTAAGCATTCCACATCTTTCAATAGTCCAATGCGTCCTATCATTATGACTGAAGCTCCATCTGGAAGTGGACCAATTAGTGGTTTAAGAAAAGAATTTTATTTAAATTCAGATAATGATGATAATGATTATGGTTTACAAATCCCATTACCATCCAGTAATAGAAGAAGATCAAGATCAAGATCCAGATCAAGATCATTCTCCGATCAAATTAAACATTTCGTCACTAATAATAAAGATGATCCATTAAGTGTTGGTTCTTCATCATCTCCAGTTCAACCAGGGGGGATTTTATTAAAGGGTAAAGATCAATCTCAATCACAACCATCAACAACTACCAGAAGAAATGCCAAAATTAGAAAAAATTCAACTGCAGTTACTGATAATCTTGAAAGTGATTTAGTATCTCCTATGATAAAGATTAAAACTAATGATAGTGGATTTTCTGATGTATACAGAAGAGGAGATAGAAGAGCTTCAAGATCATCTATTGATAGTGAAGATTCTCATGGTTCAAGAACATCTCAAGAAACTGAAGAAGATGTTTGTTTCCCAATGTCCAGAGAACATATTAGAATTAATGGGATTGATTTTGATGAAATTGAAGAATTTATAAAGGATGAAAGAGAACAACAAGAATTAATGAGAAAACAACAAATATTAAATGCTCAAAGAACCGCTACTCGTATTTCTGCTAATTCAACTGGTACAAATTTAAATAAAAGTTCATCATCTGCTTTAAAATATACTCCAAGAAATATCTTGAGAAAAACAAATACCGTCTTGACTAAATTTAGAACAAGATTAACCACTACTCCAAATGATGAAGAAGCAGAATTAGATTCATTAGCATCCCTTCATTCTGGTTCTCCATTACATATTGAAAAGGAAAAATTCCCTTCTGATTCATCTAGTGATGATTATTATAAACCAGGTCATAATAATGGTCAACCACCCGCATTCACCGGTATAAACCAAACCAATACAACCACTCATACCGATAGTCAATCTGATCAAGTTAAATTCGGAGGAACAAGAATCACCGATGGTTCAGCTGTTGGTATTGAAAGATTTTCATTCTTTTCCTCCGAATCAGAAGAAACCGTTCATGCTCCCGATATTCCATCATTGGTCGAACCAGGTCAAAGTGTTCGTGAATTATTCCGTAATGGGGAAGGAACATGGTGGTTAGATTGTGGATGTCCTACCGATTCAGAAATGAAAGTTTTGGCTAAAGCATTTGGTATCCATCCTTTGACAGCTGAAGATATTCGTATGCAAGAAGCTCGTGAAAAAGTGGAATTATTCCGTAATTATTATTTTGTTTGTTTCCATACTTTTGAACCAGATAAGGAATCTGAAGATTATTTAGAACCTATTAATGTTTATCTTGTGGTGTTTAGAGAAGGGATTTTAACTTTCCATTTCTCTCCAATTTCTCATCCTGCAAATGTCAGAAGAAGAGTTCGTCAATTAAGAGATTATGTTGATGTCACTGCTGATTGGTTATGTTATGCCTTAATCGATGACATTACTGATTCTTTTGCTCCAGTTATTACTGGTATTGAATATGAAGCTGATGCTATTGAAGATTCAGTATTTGTAGCTAGAGAATTAGATTTTGGAGGTATGTTAATGAGAATTGGTGAATCAAGAAGAAAAGTTATGACATTAATGAGGTTATTATCGGGTAAAGCTGATGTTATTAAAATGTTTGCTAAAAGATGTCAAGATGAAGCTCATAATCAACTGATGGCCATTGGAACTGATGGTCAACCATTACCTCAACTGGAACCTCATTTACATCATCCTTCAAATACTAATTTACATAGTGCTGGTTATTCAAGTAGTGGCAACGGAACTCCAACTGCTCAAGTTTTAGGAGGTGGGGTTAGTTTTGGTCCTGCTCCTGGAGCTACCGCTGCTAATTTGGGTCCAACTAATCAATGGCAATTCCAACAAAGTAATAGAACTCAACCAAGAGCTGATATTGCCTTATATTTAGGAGATATTCAAGATCATGTGGTTACTATGTTTCAAAATTTATTAGCTTATGAAAAAATCTTTTCTAGAAGTCATGCTAATTATTTAGCTCAATTACAAGTTGAATCGGTTAATTCGAATAATAAAGTTACAGAAATGTTATCTACCGTGACATTAATCGGTACATTGTTGGTGCCATTGAATGTTATTACTGGTTTATTCGGTATGAATGTTACCGTCCCTGGTGAACAAACAGGCTCATTGAATTGGTTTTTCGGTATCGTGGCCGTAATGGTTGCTATTGTATTGGTATGTTTCTGGGGTGCTAAAGTTTATTTAGATCGTTTAATGAAATCTGAAACAAGACCAAAACCTCAAAGTTCAAGAAGATCAATTAAAAGTTTGGGATTAAGAAGAAATAGAGATAGTGGTAAATCCATCATTAGTTTCCCAAATAAATATGATTAGTTAGTTAGTTAGTTAGTTAAATCGTGTTATTTGTTTTGTATTATAGACCGTTACTTTTATTAATATTATATTTATTATTTATTTAATTTGTTATTCTTGATATGATAATGTCTAGTTGGTTTGTAGAAATTCATTAACTATTAGTTCGTTATATTTCAAATTGGTTAGTATCTTTTCGCAATTTTTGCATTTTTCACCGACTGTGGCTTTTTTAGCAACAATATATAATTATAATTATGATCCTCGATCCCTATTTACAAAACTCACCAAGAAACTATCAACACTATCAACTACAACCATGGTATCAAAGACCAAGAAACCTAATTTCTTAATCATCGTTGCTGATGATTTAGGATTCACTGATACATCTCCTTTTGGAGGTGAGATCCATACTCCAAACTTGCAAAGGCTTGCCAACTCTGGGGTAAGATTAACTGATTTCCATACTGCATCAGCTTGTTCACCTACTAGATCAATGTTACTTTCGGGAACTGATAATCATATTGCGGGATTAGGACAGATGGCAGAATTTTCCTCGAGACATCCTGAGAAATTCGCCGGTAAGAAAGGGTATGAAGGTTATCTTAATGATAAAGTTGTTAGTTTAGCTGAAATTTTAGGGGAGAATGGGGATTATTTTACTTTTATTTCTGGTAAATGGCATTTAGGTTTACTCCCTGAATATTGGCCTATTAAACGTGGATTTGAAAAATCATTTACCTTGTTACCTGGAGCTGGAAATCATTATAAGAGAGTTATAATTGATGAAAATACAGGTAAGGAGATCCCATTTTTACCTAATATTTATGCTGAAGATGATAGATTGGTTGATGTGGTAAAGGAATTACCTGAAGATTTCTATTCCACCAATTATTTCACCGATAAAGGGATTGAATTCATAAATAGTGAACAAAGAAAAGATAGACCATTTTTAGGGTTATTAACTTATACTGCTCCACATTGGCCTTATCAAGCTCCTCCTGATATTATTGCCAAATATAAGGGTAAATATAATGGAGGTCCTGAAGAATTAAGAAGACAAAGATTGAAAGCTGCTGAAAAAGCAGGAATTATTCCTTCTGGAATTGTACCACATCCTATAAAGACAATTAGAAAATTATGGAGTGAGTTAACTGATCATGAAAGGGAAATTGAATCAAGAATTATGGAAACCTATGCTGCCATGGTTGAAATCTTAGATACTAATATTGGAAGAGTGATTGAAGATTTAGAAAAGTCAGGTGAATTAGATAACACATTTGTCCTTTTCATGTCTGATAATGGTGCTGAAGGTATGTTAATGGAAGCATTACCATTAACCAACCAAAGATTTAATACCTTTATTGAAAAGTATTATGATAATACTTTAGATAACATTGGTAAAGGTGATTCCTTTGTATTTTATGGAGATCAATGGGCTCAAGCTGCTACTTCTCCTCATTCAATGTATAAAATGTGGTCTACTGAAGGTGCAATTGGGTCCTTCGTTATCCTCCTTTGATAGACCATAAGCAACAAGGTAAAATCTTAGAAGGATTCTCTACCGTGATGGATATTTTACCAACCGTATTAGATTTAGCTGACATTAAGCATCCAGGTACAACGTGGAAGGGTAGAGAAGTCACTACTCCAAGAGGTAAATCTTGGAAATCTTATTTGGCAGGCGAATCTCCTCAAATACATGACGAAGATACAGTCACTGGTTGGGAATTATTCGGTCAACAAGCCATTAGACAAGGGGAGTATAAGGCTATTTATATTCCAGCACCATTCGGACCTGAAAAATGGCAATTATTCAATATTAGGAAAGATCCCGGTGAAACTGATGATTTGGCCCTTGTCGAACCAAAAGTATTATCCACTCTTGTTAATCATTGGGCTGTTTATGCTGCAGAAACAGGATTAATTGAATTAGGTAGTGATTTCTTTGAAAAGGAAAAACTTGAAGGCGAAGACAATGAACTTGTTTACAGAACAATTATAGATAAAACGTGAAATTTTTAACTTTTATATTTCTATTATTTTTACATTATATAAATATGCAATATACATACTCTAGACGAAAACTTAATTATCTGTTCTCCTTTTCTTTTGCTTTGGTTGTTCAGCTGGAATATAAATATCAAATCTATCATCTTGAGGAGTGGTTGGACCATTTTTATCGTTAAATACTTCTCTTCTCCATTGTTGTAATCTCTTCTTTTTTGTATATTTTCTTTTATCCTTTAACATATCTTCCTTTGGTCTATATGGCGCCAATTTCTTTAAATTCAAAAAGGTATTCAATTGAGTATCATCGGCAATCAAAATATCTCTAGTAGTTAAACCAAAACTATCAGGTGAGACTTCTCTATATTTATATGCAACACCATCGTTATCTTCTGGACGCCCTCTTTCTTCTTCAATTTCATCAACAATAAGATGTGTCTTAGCATCAACAATTTGTTGAGCTTTTTCACGTAAAGATTGCTTCTCTTTCTTGGCTGATTTCTTCTTCTTAAGTTTATCTTTCTTAGATGTTTTAGTTTCTTCTTCATCGTCGTTTTCTTCTTCATCATCGCCATCTTCTTGTTTATTCTTCTTTTCAGCATAAAAGTCTCCCATTATATCGTCATCTTCATCCCATTCTGGTTTTTGCGTATCATCTCCTTCATCTCCATTATATTGTTCATTGAATATTTCAGCCATCTTATTATCCCAATCAGCATCATCGAAATCATCTTGAAGTAAAGTATTACCAAAGACTTTTTGAATCAAATCATCACTAACTTCTTCACCTACAGCTTGTTTGATCTTTTCCAATCTATCCATAACTTTATTTATCTTTGAATTCTTCTTTTGTTTCAAAAGTTCTTCCTTTTCTTGTTTTTGTTTTAATTTCTCTTCCTTCTTTCTTTCTCTTTGTCTTTGACGAGCACTAGTAGCTGATCTTCTTAATGTAGCTTGATTACGGGCATACGACACAATTTCAGCAGCAGTTGGATCTTCATATCTGAAATTATAAACATGTTCAAATTGTTCAACTGCCTCTTCAAACTCTCCTTCGGCTTTTCTTTCTATTTTATCTAAATTGACAGTCTTATCAGATTTCTTAGGAATCCAGGCTCTGTTATCTATGAATGCCCTTAAGAATTCTTCTTCATTATTTTCAGGATCAGGCAACACATTCAGTTCTTCTTCTTGAACCACAACCCTTCTGGTATCTTTTTTCTTCAAGAAGCCATCATCGTCGTCATCTTGATCATCATCTTCTTCAACATCATCTTCAAATGCTTTCTTAATATCTTCAAGAAGTTGATCTCTTTCTTCTCTTTCTTGAACCACAAATGGCTTTTCACCATCAACAGTTCCATATTCATTTTCTTCTTCATCTTCATCTTGGTAACTTTTTGACAATAATTGGTTTCTTTGATATTCTTGTAAATATAATGGTTTCTCTTTGCGTACTCCATTATCGTAGTTTATCTTTTCAGGATCTTCGAAGAATTTAGCTTCTGGGTCTAATAATTTCTTAGGATCTGATCTTATGGTATTTAATACTTTACTAATACCATCTTCCACATCTTCAGTTAATAAATCACCGAATTCATCTTCACTTTCATCTGATGATTCTTCTTCTTCATCTTGTGAAACGTCTTCTGGTGAGTCTTCCACCTTTTTAGCTACTTCTGTTGATTCTTCAACTGTTTGGTCTTTTGGTGCTTCAGCAAGAGCAAGCTTTTCTGCCTCCTCTCTGGCCTTTTTAGCGGCAGACTTCTTTCTGGCCATTGTTTATCGTTAGAGTTGTAATTACAATCAGATCTACAAGCTCAATATAAATAATTTTTTTTATTTACTGGAGACGTGAGATGAGAGAAGATCAAAATTTTCCTGTACATAAAATATTGGTAGCGCTAACAATATACGAGTTTCATAACTATAATCTTGGTTCTAGTTTAAAAGGTGAGGTCTCAGGCAATCCTTTAATATCATACCACCATCTAATAGCCAATTCAACCCTATTCACATCCAAGTTTTCACTAAGCAGTTTCCATAAGATACTCACCAAGAAGTCTCTTTCAGCAGGATTACTGGCTACGATAAGTAACCAGATTTTATCAACCCACTTTAAAAATATCGATAATGGTAAATATGGAACCAATGCAATGAATGAAACGATTGCTGCTTCTCTTGAAGTATCTGGAATTAACCTCTTTTCGAACTGATACTCTGCCTTCTCTTTGGTTAAACCGACACTATCAGTATCATTATTATTCTCTAGAGTACGCAAAGTAGATTCAGCTGAAATTTCTTGGATAGGCTGTGCTGAGGCAAAACCAATATCAGAAGTTGTACTATGAGGAGCTGCAATCTTAATACCTGGTCTAATTGTTTGACATTCTTCATATATGAAGTGTAAGAAATTTTCAACTATGACTCCATTTTGGAAAGGGTTAGATAATATCTTCTTACCAATGGTCTCCACAGCAATACTTAACTGATGAGAAGAGATTCTTCTTGGAAATTGTAAAAATAATATCTTAACGTATTCCACAAACTTATTTATATCAGCATCTTCATTATTTGAAAAGCAAAATAATAATACAGAATGACTAGCTTCGATTAAATCATCGTCATTGTATTTATTATCATCAACAAGGTTAAACGTGATATTGAAGATATCATTATTAATGAACTTATCATTCTTCTTAGGATGACTTTGAACTTTTTGTAAATAATTTTCCCATAATCCAAGAGAAAACAATACCTTCGATCTCATAATATAATTATTATTCAAAATATTGGGGTAATAATTGATTTCTTGATAATTTGAGATTAAGTACTTAGTCAGATTTTCGAAATTTGAATTGGTATTCAATGAGGATAACGATAACTCTAAAGTTAGATAATATACAAAGTTATAATTATCAAATCCACCTTGTCCGATTGAAAGCAAAATAAAGTTTGAGTAATACAATATTGATAAGATTTTCAATGAAATTTGATGATATTGTTGTTCAATTGTGACTGATATGTTTCTTCTGAATGGATTGAAAACCGGGAATGACTTAGCATTGGCAGTTAAGAATCGGGTTAATATACCTTGTATGATGATAATCTGCGAAAAGAATATGTTTTTCATAATGTACCAAAACTGTTGATGGATAGGATTGGTATCAGCTGAACTTTTGGGATGATTGAAATCTGAATTAGCAGAAATATGATTTAATTGACGATCATAAGTTAATAGAATATCAAGAGTATTCATGATCAATTCATAAGATTGAAGGTCGAACTTTAATGATTTGAAACAGGCTTCTAGCAAAAATGATAATTTATTTAAATGTTTGATGATTGGCTTTTGAAGAATTTCCTCTTGAATCAATTGTTCACTTTCCTTGGATAAGGGGTCAAGATGAAGTAATTTTAAATATGCTAATGTTGAATTTTGAGGACTTATGAATAATAAGTGAACTAGTCTTTGAATGATGAATGATAAAGACACCTTAGCATGGATATTTTCATCTTTATTATAAGTTAAAGCCAAACTGACTAAACTTAAATCAACTACATCTTCTGGTTGAGAATGAGAAAGACTATAATTGATACTATTTTGAAACAACTGTTTGATTTGCTTATCCCAATCCAGGAAGAACCACCTGAATTCAAATACGTTAGGTATCACATATAAATCATCTCTTAACTGATTTGATAATAGTATACCAGTAATAATGGGCAACACTTTCCAACTATTGGCAATAGGATTGTATGCGACGAAATTGGTCAATTCCTTCAATATAACAGTATAAAATGATTTGATTGATAAAGTAGGTTGACTTATTTTCAATTTCTTGTCAGTAATCAATTTGAAAACTTCAATGATCATATAATTGGATTCAAATGGTACCACAGATTGACCAAAACAAACTGGAGTATTTAAGAAACTAGAAAATAAGATTCTTAAGTTATGCTCATGTTTGACATATGGTAAATAATGATATAAATATCCCAATACTTTCTTAATTGTTGTATCAGATTTAGGATTTCTCAATTCATCAATGAGATAATCAAGATCTTGAGGTGTAGCTGATGAACCAGGGCCATCAAAATTGGATCCTGATCCATGGCTCTGTAATAATTCTCTACCCTGGGGTCCTAGCCTTCTTGACAACTCTGACATATTCCGTTAATTGTACACTTTTGAAGTCTAATCGAATGTAATATTTACTTTGGCAATTTTGCTATAAATCAATTTGGTGGGGGAAGAATATTTACCGAGGACTACCATGATTTTATGTGCAGGATAATTATCGGTGTAACTACAAATAAAGCTACCAAATTTAATAATTCGTACAAAGTCTTACATTCATTTATCAATTTTAAGTTCACTATTTACAAGTAAAGAAATCAAGCTGACAAGATATTGGAATCTTGTATTAAACCCATTCTCTAGGGGATTGTAATACTTTTAATAATTTGTCTTCATCGCTACCTTCTTCTGGATGATGATCATATAACCAAGAAGCAGTCTTTGGTAAAGACATCAAGATACTTTCGACTCTTGAACCTGGGGTTTGTAAACCGAATTGAGTACCTCTATCTAAGACTAAATTGAATTCAACATATCTTCCTCTTCTGATTTGTTGCCATTCCCTTTGTTCAGGAGTGTAAGGTAAGTCCTTTCTTTTGGCAATGGTTGGCAAATAAGATGGTAAGAAAGCATCAAAACAATCTTCAATAATATGTAAGATTTCATCAGCTGGCTTTGAATCAAAATCATCAAAGAAAATACCACCAATACCTCTAGTTTCATTTCTATGTTTAATAAAGAAATATTCATCACACCATTTTTTGTATTTTGGATACAATTCTTTATCGTGTTTATCTAAGGCTTCCTTATGTTTTTGATGGAACAAAACAGCATCTTCTTCATATAAATAAGATGGAGTTAAATCAGCACCACCACCAAACCACCAAGCTTGAACTTCATTTGTTTCTGGATCAGTAGTTTCGAAATATCTATAGTTAGCATGAGTGGTTGGAGCATGAGGGTTAATTGGATGAATAACCATTGATAAACCACAAGCAAAGAAATTGACACTTCCATCACTATCAGAACCTTTCAAATTAGCATGATCAGCTCTCATTCTTGTTACAGCTTGAGGAGGTAATTTACCATGAACAATGGAAATATTGACACCACCTTTTTCAAAAGTAGTACCATTTTGTAAAACCATTGATTCACCTCCACCACCATTGTTGCCTCTAATCCATTTATCGGTTTGAAATTGAACCGTATCCAAAGAAGCTAATCCTTGGGTGATTTCTTGTTGTTTAACTCTGATAAGAGCTTCCATACGGTCTCTTATTGGCAAAGATTTGTCGTGTATTTGTTCTGGAGTGACGGTGACCATGATAGTATATGTTTCTGTTATTCTTAGTAGTAGTAAAGAAGCTAAGTAACTTGAATTGGAACAACGAATTATTTAACAGCTGACTTAAGGTTATTTATATTATGCCGTATACCATCATTTTCTGGTCGTTTAGTGATTCGATTTTTTTCGATCGCACTGAAAAAAAAAAGTGGTATGGTGAAAAAGTCTGGCCCCTTTTGGATAATTGTGAGCAATGGAAATCATGATGATGAATCTGATGATTACCTCAACTGTTGTACGTATACTTCGCATAAATAGGAGTATGGTTTTACGACCTTAGGTTTACTACGATGGGAGGTTATAACAATTGTGTTGGGTGAGATTATGTAGAGTTGGGTCTCGATACGAGCAATTATAAAATAAAGCCTTATATTAAGTAATGTAAATATCTATTGTTTTTTTGGTATTTTACGATTTTATGAGTATGAAACTGTTTTCACAAAACTAATAATGAATAAACTAAGTACAGGGAATTGAAGTATGATAATATTCACGGTAAAAATTGGAAAATCTTAAAGTATTAAGATATTATCATCTTCAGGGTAATAAAAATAGAAAAATAAAATGAATAGTGGTTGAATTATGTTGAAGTTGAGAGGAATAGATATCTAATCTAATCCTTCTTAGCCTTCTTCTTTTCTCTATTACCTTTTGGAACTCTAGCAGCCCAATAAAAGATAATAGTTAAAATAATGTTGATAACAATAAATGCCAAGAAAATACCAAAGTTTCTCCATCTTTCTGAAAAGTAGGAATTGACACTAGCTAAAAAGGCATTAGTGGAACCCATTTGACAGAATTGACATCCTGAAGTGGCATTACTATCAGTCAAATAACCACCTGCAAGACTTATATATGGTGCCATATAAGTTCCACATGTATCGCCACTTGGAGGATTGAAGACAACTAATTCTTCTGCAGCACAAACAACATTGGTATTGGCTAAACCAGTGGATAAAAGACCTTGAATCAAATAGGTGAAAGGATTGGCTCTATACATGAAAATCCAGAATCCAGGTAACACTTCTGGACCAGCTAAAACACCACAGAAATTCAAACACATGGTAAATAATAAGGTAGCCAAGTTGGCTGCGTTATCGGCTAATTCGTTAAAAGATAAACATAATTGACCCATAGTTGAGGTATAGACGAAGAATGAGGTTAAGAACATCCACATCAAAACACCACGAGAGTGGACTTCATTGGTTGGTTCAGCATTTCTATATAATCCAACAGGATAATACCAACAGAAAAAGGAAATGGTACCACAAGCAATTTGGAATGGGATTTCAGATGTGATTTGTCCAGTGATGAATGCAAACCATGAATAGGTTCTGGATGGTGCTTCTCTGACTTCATAAAGATCTCTTTGAGTAATGAAATATGGAGCCATCTGTTGAACCAAGGTGTTAAAGACAATGAAGTACATAAAAATAGCAAACATTTGATTTTGCATACCTTGCATCGAGTTAGTAGCTTTGAAAAATGAAAACCCGTTGAATAAAGCAGATGAAACAACTAAGAATAATTTAGAATAAATATAACTGGGTGATCTCCACTTTTCTTGAATGACTCTCCATGAAACAATTAAATACTGTCTCCAGATTGGAGCGGCATATTTCAAATGAGCATCAGTGGAAGTGTCTCTTGGTAAGTGTACTAATTCAGTTTCCATAGTGTCTAATTCAGATTGAATAGCATGATATTCATCTGAATTTCTCCAAACTTCAAAATAATCTTGTTTAGCATGGGAACCTGGAGCAGCTCCAACAACTTGCAACATCCATTCCGCTGGATTTGCTTCGGCTGGACAAGGATCAGCTCCATACTTTTCAAAATATTTGATCAATGTGCTACATTCATCACCTAAATCTCCGAAATAAACAGTTCTACCACCTTTTTGTAAGAATAATAATCTATCAAATTCTTTCAATAATAAAGCTGATGGCTGATGGATAGTACATAAAATAGCTTGTCCATGATCGGCTAACTTTCTCATCAACTTACAAATAGACCAAGCAGTTTGTGAATCTAAACCAGAAGTTGGTTCATCTAAGAATAATAATAATTTAGGTTTGGAAACTAATTCAACACCAATAGTCAATCTCTTTCTTTGTTCAACATTCAATCCTTCACCGGCAACACCAACAATAGCATCGGCATAATCAGTCATTTCTAATAAATCAATAATGTATTCAACATAATCATTCTTTTCGGAAGTTGGAACAGAAGCTGGTTGTCTCAAGTAAGCAGAAAATCTAAATGCTTCTCTGACTGTGGAAGTAGCTAAATGTAAATCTTGTTGTTGGACATAACCAATAGATCTTTGGAATGAACTATCTAATGAGTGTCCATTGACCATTCTAACACCGTCGGTGATAACACCAGTAGTAACTCTTTCTGATAAACAATTCAATAATGTGGTCTTACCGGCACCGGATGCACCCATCAAAGCAGTGATTTGTCCTGGCTTGACCCATCCATCAACTTGATTCAAAATAACTCTATCTTCTTTCTTGATCTTAACTTGATAAGTTAAATCTCTCCAGTGGAAAATATCTTCTGAGGATGGTAAACTATTGTCATTGACCTTGTTTTCTGGTTTGGCAGATTCAATTTGATCTTTAAGTGGAACTTTTTCAGAATTATTATTTTCGATATCTTTTTGAAGTTGTCTTTGTTGCTTATGCTTCTTTAAGGAACCTCTAAGAAATAAAACAATTTCACCCTTTTGCATGGCACCTTTATTAAATTCAGTTAATCCAATATAAACGCCTAAAAAGACAATAACATAGGCAACGGCAATACCCCAGTTTCTCCATTTATGAGAATTATAGTATTCATAACTCTTGGCTAAGTAAGTAGTACCTTGAACAACTGGAGATCCTGCAACAGAACCAACAGTATTACACACGTATGTACCAGGAGATAAGTTTGTATAACTAGGGCCTGTAGGAACATTGGTGGAACAATTGAATTCACGATCATGGAATTCATTTACCATTAATGATTCGAAAACATATCCAACCGGATTAATATAATTGATCCATCTTGACCATCCTAACATCTTTGGAGTTGGGATAACAAAACCAGTATAAATAACCATAGCTAACAACATAACGGTAGCTGGAGTCATGGCACCTGGTAAGGAAGTAGTAACAGAACCAATCGAACGGAAAATATGTGACATAACTAATGTACAAGTGAAACACATCAAGAAGTAGAAGAAGAAAACGACCTGGTTCACGTCTGAAATGAACCATGAAATAGAAAGTAACATTGAAAGAAATAGAAACACATAATTTGGTAGGTAAATCAGTAATAATACCCGCTAGCGCATCTGCTGAAGGTCTATAAAGAGCATATTTCTTATGTTTTTCAACAATTGGTCTGGATTCGAATAACAACATGATTTCTAAAAGGGAGGCAAAAGCATTGAATAACACGGCAAAGAACATGGCAGCACCACGATAGTAAAAAGAAGAAGTAGTCTGTTGTAAATTATAAAACACAGATGACAATATTAAACCCATAGTAAAATTACCAAAGATGGAGAATAAAGAAATAGAAGGATCCCCTTTCAATCGAAGAATATTACGTCCCATTAAATATCTAACTTGCATAAAAAATGAAACGGTATATGGTGATTTAGGTGAGATGTGCTTGGATTGACGAGCAATATGGGAATCTTCATAAGCTTTTTTGGTATTGTTGGCTTCAACATCAATGAAGTGTTGATCGATTTCAGCCACCAATTCTCTATATTCTGGTGAATTCCTCCAGTAAGCTTCAAATTCAGCAGCTGAGTTGGGTACCTTGTGTTCAAATCCTGGTCTAGGGATTCTTTCAGCAGGATTGGTTAATGAGGTTAAGAAATCAGCAGTAGTTTGTCTTTGTGGACATTCATATCCCATGTTAACGAAATATTCTCTGGCCTTATCACCTTTACCAAAGAAGATTTGATATCCTTCATAAAGAACAACAACGTTATCAAATAAATCATATGCATCTTGTGAACATTGATAAATAGCAATTAATGGGGTGGCTTCTAAAATAGTAGCTGATGTCTTTAAAGCTCTGATGAATTCTAATGCAGTAGCGGCATCCAACCCTCTAGTAGCATTATCCCAACATTGTAAATTGGCACCACAAAGAGACACTTCAGCAATTGAAACTCTCTTTCTTTCACCACCAGATACACCTCTAACGAAATCATTACCAACATTGGTGTTTCTAGTGTGTGATAAACCATAGGTGGCCATATACACACTAGCCATGTGTTTAGCATATGTTTCTCTGTCAACACCCATTCCTCTATTTTGTGGAGTTCTCAATCGGGATGCGAATTCTAAAGTATCACCAACAGTTAAATGAGGGAAATGAACATCGGTTTCTGCGGAGTATACAACATCACCACGGTGATGTTTTTGAATATCTTCTGGAGTTAATCCATCGTATGTGATTCTTGATTCTTCACCAATTTGGAATCCATAAGTATTACAAGCAATGGTTTTTAACAAAGTAGAACAACCAGAACCAGGACGACCTAATACAACTGTGACTTCACCTGGTTTCATAATACCATCCATTGATTTTAAAATATTAAAATAACGAGATTCATCCATTTTTCTAGTTGATCTAAGAGCTTCAACGGTTGTTTTCCAAAGAGCATTAGTGACAGTTGGTTGGTAATCAGAATCGACAGCCACACCGTAAGCTCTTAAGTCACGATAAGCGATACCTAATTTCGATGGTTTATAATATTCAGGATCTGAATCGAATAATTTACGTAAATTCTTAACCCAATATTTAGCATCGAATGTCTCTGAATCTGGATCTAATTTTTCATTGATTTCATCAGCATGATAAGGAGATACACCAGGGATTTGGGACATATGAGATAAATATTTAATCAAGGCAAATGAAGATTTATCATCATTTAATTGAAAGTCTTCATCACCTCCAGTATTTGACACGATTGAATCATGGGTTAAAGTTCTGGCTAATTCTTGAACATTTTTAGCAGTATCAGCATTAAACCCTTGATATTCATTGATGGAACTATTAGATGATGAGCCATCTTCCGTAACTTTTGTACTTTGATGTTGAGGGTTTATGGATTTTTCATTATCATCGTTTGAATGCTTCCCTAAGGAATTTTCAGACGACATGATTGATAATGATGATTAGATTATTAGTCAATTACCCCCCAATGAATAGATAAGTAGTTGGATAACTAAGATAACAAATACAAAATAACAACAATCAAGTGTAATCAGAGAAATAAAAATACAAAAATTACCCAGTTTTATCCAGATAGTCCAGGATAGATATTTATATTTATATTTATATTTTTATATTTATGTATAAATGAATTTTGTGATGATTGAATTTATAATTCTGTTTTGAGTTATGTATACGGAAATAAGTCGGAAAGGATCGAAAATTAATTTTTTGGCATTTTTTGTTATCCTTCATCCTTAACCCTTTTACAAACTTTTTTTTTTCTTAGGGAATGAAGAAGCTTAATTATTTGTTTATAATTGCTACAACTACTAATACAGGTGAAATGGTTTGTAGAAGATAGTGTATAACTTTACTCATCCTCCTCCTCCTCTACCTCTCCTCTACCTCATCTTGGCGAAAAAGAAACTTGTCTGTTCGGTATTTACAGTTATCTCCTATGAACTTATTGATTTAAATTTCTTGGATAACTGGACATTCATCAGACTACGTAAACGAACTTATTATTATTATTATTATTATTATTAAATCTCTCATTAATTCATCATAAGTCGTTTATAATATACTATTAACAAATTAAAAAAAAAATTTAGTATGCCGCCGCCGCACATGGTTTGTTTGCGTTTGTTTGTGTTTATTTTCAATTTTAGTTTTAGATTTATGTTATGTAAGCGGAGAGGATTAACTAATACAGTATCATCACCATAACTACATCTGTACTTCGGAATGAAACTTGCACCTTTTGATTTATCTCATTTTTACCCGAACCCAAAACGTATACTGTTTTTTCATAGGTTCTCCTATGGTTTACCTACAGTCTTATCCTCTACTTAGTAACAACGCCTATCCTTACGTTCCTATCTTAATATCTCATTTGTGGCTGACACCGCCTCTATGTTATCAAATATCCTTTCATTATATATAATTATCCCCGATTATCATTCTCACATAACCACAAAAGATTTCTTTTTCATATTTCTCCGACACGGCCTATACCTTCACTATGGTATATGCTCGGTGGCGTTTAAACGTAAAGGATATAAAATACCCCCTATCTCGTAAATCCTCTATATATTTTTAATACTGTATATCCTTACATATTATTATCAACATTCCTTTGAAAAGTTTGCCACTATTTATGGTTCGCTCAACCCAACTGATTTACATCTACTCATTCTCTCAACTTTATGAAATTATCCAACTCGGTATTTGTTATTATGGGTTAATTACCCTGTGAATCACTCTTATAAGTATGCAGTTACTATAAAAAAGTGTATCACCGAATGGTCTATGTTGATATTCATAACTTCTGTGGATCGAATAATTTTTTTTTCTATTTTTTTCTATTTTTTTTTATTTTTTTTCTTTTATTTTTGTGAGCGGATAGCTGCAAAAAAAGACCAAATAATATTCCAAACCTTTATATCTGCAGCATCTTTATGATTACTTTAGGAAAGTACTCCGGATCAGGTATATCTCCATGAAAATGGCATTTCTTCATCATTCCGTACCTGTCTTCTTAAATCTATAAAAGTCGATCTTCTACTTGATTCAGGTTGTTTATAAATAAAAAGATTTATTGTATTAAAAAACTAATGTATCACGATATAAATAAAATTAAAAACAAACAAGTTTATAAGAAAACCAATTTATAAGAAGATTGAACATATGATCATTTAGAAATATTAATGTCAACTCTCAAACTTGATAACTTGAAACAATCACGGGTATCAAAAAATAGTCTAATCTTTTTTAGCCTTCTTTTGTTCTCTATTACCTTTTGGAACTCTAGCAGCCCAATAAAAGATAATAGTTAAAATAATGTTGAAAGCAATAAATACTATGAAAATACCAAAGTTTCTCCATCTTTCTGAAAAGTAAGCATTGACACTAGCCAAGTAGTCATTTGTGGAATTCATTTGACAATATTGGCATCCTGAAGTTGCACCAGTATCTGTCAAATAGCCACCGGCAAGTTTCATATATGGTGCCATATAAGTTCCACAAGTTTCGCCACTAGGAGGATTGAACAATAATAGTTCTTCTGTAGCACAAATAACTTTAGTATTAGCTAATCCAGTAGATAAAATTCCTTGTACTAAATAAGTGAAAGGATTACATCTATACATGAAAATCCAGAATCCAGGTAACACCTTTGGACCAGCTAAAACACCACAGAAATTCAAACACATACTGAATAATAAAGTAGCCAAATTTGCTGCATTATCAGCAAGCTCATTGAACGATAAACATAATTGTCCCATAGTAGAAGTGTACACGAAGAATGAGGTTAATAACATCCACATTAAAACACCACGTGAATTAACTTGATCTGTTGGTTCCGCATTCCTATATAATCCAACAGGATAATACCAACAGAAAAAGGAAATGGTACCACAAGCAATTTGGAATGGGATTTCAGATGTGATTTGTCCAGTGATGAATGCAAACCATGAATAGGTTCTGGATGGCGCTTCTCTGACTTCATAAAGATCTCTTTGAGTAATGAAATATGGAGCCATCTGTTGAACCAAGGTATTGAACACCACAAAGTACATAAAGATAGCAAACATTTGATTTTGCATACCCTGCATCGAGTTATTAGCTTTGAAGAATGAAAACCCATTAAAGATTGCTGAAGAAATGACTAAGAATAATTTGGAATAAATATAACCTGGAGATCTCCATTTCTCTTGAATAACTCTCCATGAGACAATTAAATATTGTTTCCAGATTGGTGCGGCATACTTTAAATGCGATTCTGGGGATGTATCTCTTGGTAAGTGTACTAATTCAGTTTCCATGGTATCTAATTCGGATTGAATGGAATGATATTCATCTGAATTTCTCCAAACTTCAAAATAATCTTGTTTAGCATGAGAACCTGGAGCAGCTCCAACAACTTCTAACATCCATTCAGCTGGATTAGCTTCTGGGGGACATGGGTCAGCACCGTACTTCTCGAAATATTTGATCAATGAACTGCATCCATCGCCTAAATCTCCGAAATAAACAGTTCTACCACCTTTTTGTAAGAATAATAATCTATCAAATTCTTTCAATAATAAAGCTGATGGTTGATGGATGGTACATAAAATAGCTTGTCCATGATCGGCTAATTTTCTCATCAACTTACAAATAGACCAAGCAGTTTGCGAATCTAAACCAGAAGTTGGTTCATCCAAGAATAATAATAATTTAGGTTTGGAAACTAATTCAACACCAATAGTCAATCTCTTTCTTTGTTCAACGTTCAAACCTTCACCAGGAACACCAACAATAGCATCTGCATAATCAGTCATTTCTAATAAATCAATAATGTATTCAACATAATCATTCTTTTCGGAAGTTGGAACAGAAGCTGGTTGTCTCAAGTAAGCTGAAAATCTAAATGCTTCTCTGACTGTGGAAGTAGCTAAATGTAAATCTTGTTGTTGCACATAACCAATAGATCTTTGGAATGAACTATCTAATGAGTGTCCATTGACCATTCTAACACCATCTGTGATTATACCACTTGTAACTCTCTCAGACAAACAATTCAATAAAGTGGTCTTACCGGCACCGGATGCACCCATCAAAGCAGTGATTTGTCCTGGCTTGACCCATCCATCAACTTGATTCAAAATGACTCTATCTTCTTTCTTGATCTTAACTTGGTAAGTTAAATCCCTCCAGTGGAAAATATCATTTGAAGATGGTAAACTATTATCATTAACTTTGATCTCTTCTTTAGTAGATTCCAAATGATCTTTAAGTGGAACTTTTTCAGAAGCATTATTTTCGATATCTTTTTGAAGTTGTCTTTGTTGCTTATGCTTCTTTAAGGAACCTTTAAGAAATAAAACAATTTCACCCTTTTGCATGGCACCTTTGTTGAATTCAGTCAAGGTAATGTAAAGGAATAAAAAGACAATAACATAGGCAACACAAATACCCCAATTTCTCCATTTATGAGAATTATAGTATTCATAACTCTTGGCTAAGTAAGTAGTACCTTGAACAAATGGCGATCCTGCAACAGAACCAACAGTATTACAAACATAAGTACCAGGTGATAAGTTTGTATAACTAGGGCCTGTAGGAACATTGGTGGAACAATTGAATTCACGATCATGGAATTCATTTACCATTAATGATTCGAAAACATATCCGACAGGGTTAATATAATTGATCCATCTTGACCATCCTAACATCTTTGGAGTTGGGATAATAAAACCAGTGTAAATAATCATACCTAATAACATAACGGTAGCTGGAGTCATGGCACCTGCAATTGAGGTAGTAACTGAACCAATAGAACGGAAAATATGTGACATAACTAATGTACAAGTGAAACACATCAAGAAGTAGAAGAAGAAACGACCTGGTTCACGTCTGAAATGAACCATGAAATAAAACGTAAGATTGAATGAAATGGAGACACATAATTTGGTAGGTAAATCAGTAATAATACCCGCTAGCGCATCTGCCGAAGGTCTATAAAGAGCATATTTCTTATGTTTCTCAACAATTGGCCTGGATTCAAAGATTGACATAATTTCTAAAAGGGAAGCAAAGGCATTGAATAACACGGCAAAGAACATCGAAGCACCACGATAATAGAACGAGGATGTATCCAGTTGTAGATTGTAAAAGACTGACGATAAAATCAAACCCATAATGAAATTACCAAATATAGATACTAACGCAATGGAGGGGTCACCTTTTGTACGAAGTATATTTCTACTCATAATGTATCGGACTTGCATGAAGAATGAAACGGTATATGGTGATTTAGGTGAGATGTGCTTGGATTGACGAGCAATATGGGAATCTTCATAAGCTTTTTTGGTATTGTTGGCTTCAACATCAATGAAGTGTTGATCGATTTCAGCCACCAATTCTCTATATTCTGGTGAATTCTTCCAATAAGATGCAAATTCAGCAGCACTATTTGGTACGGCATGCTCAAATCCTTGTCTTGGGATTCTTTCAGCAGGATTGGTTAATGAGGTTAAGAAATCTGCTGTGGTTTGTCTTTGTGGACATTCCCATCCCATATTAACGAAATATTCTTTGGCCTTATCTCCCTTACCGAAAAAGATTTGATATCCTTCATAAAGAACAACAACATTATCAAATAAATCATATGCATCTTGCGAACATTGATAAATAGCAATTAATGGGGTGGCTTCTAAAATAGTAGCAGATGTCTTCAAAGCTCTGATGAATTCTAATGCAGTAGCGGCATCCAACCCTCTAGTGGCATTATCCCAACATTGTAAATTAGCACCACAAAGAGACACTTCAGCAATTGAAACTCTCTTTCTTTCACCACCAGATACACCTCTAACGAAATCATTACCAACATTGGTGTTTCTAGTGTGTGATAAACCATAGGTGGCCATATACACACTTGCCATGTGTTTAGCATATGTTTCTCTGTCGACACCCATTCCTCTATTTTGTGGAGTTCTCAATCGGGATGCGAATTCTAAAGTATCACCAACAGTTAAATGAGGGAAATGAACATCGGTTTCTGCGGAGTATACAACATCACCACGATGATGTTTTTGAATATCTTCTGGAGTTAATCCATCATATGTGATTCTTGAGTCTTCACCAATTTGGAATCCATAAGTATTACAAGCAATGGTTTTTAACAAAGTAGAACAACCAGAACCAGGACGACCTAATACAACTGTGACTTCACCTGGTTTCATAATACCATCCATAGATTTTAAAATATCAAAATAACGAGACACATCAATCTTTTGAGTTGATCTAATAGCTTCTATGGATAATTTCCAAAGAGCATTAGTGACAGTTGGTTGATAGTCTGAATCAACAGCGACACCAAATGCTCTTAAGTCACGATAAGCAATACCTAATTTAGAAGGCTTGTAGTAATCAGGATCTGAATCAAACAACTTTCTCAAGTTCTTGACCCAGTATTTTGCATCGAATGAGTCACTATCTGGATCAAGTTTATTATACAGCTCATCACCATTATAAGGAGATACACCAGGGATTTGAGACATATGCGACAAATATTTAATCAAAGCAAATGACGATTTATCATCATTTAATTGGAAATCCTCATCCCCACCAGTGTTTGACAGAATAGAATTATGAGTTAATGTTCTAGCTAACTCCTGAACATTCTTTGCAGTTTCAGCATTAAACCCTTTATATTCATTTATTGAACTATTTGTGGAAGAAGCGTCGTCAGAAGCTTTGGCGATGGGACTATCATTTGCTAGAAACAATTCGTCATCATGCTCATCGTTGGAATTCTTTTCTAAGGAATGCTTTGATGACATGTTAGGACTCTCTATTGGTTACCAATAAATAAAGTTATATGTCTAAAACCAAGTAGGAAATATCAATAGATAATGAAAAGTAAAGAATATAAGAATTAATAAAATATTAGGATTTAAATAATAATTTCAAAATGATTTAAAGTTGAGGAAGGTCTATTTATTTATATTTTTAATGATTTGTTTTGGTTTAGGAAAACAAATTCTAATCGGAAGGGAATAAAAAAATTTAATTATTATCGATTTTTGTTTCCATAGTTTCCTTGTCGTTCCAGATTCTAATTTTTACAGTAGAGACTAATAATAGTAAAATTGGGAAATATGGTCTTGGCTTAAGGAGAATTATAAGTTGCTTCCTGATATAACTCATGTAGTCAATGACAAATACCAAGCATCATTTGCAAAGGTAATGATATAGTTCATTAACTCCTAAGATCTTGCTATTCTCGGTATAACGAAAGTTAACTCCTTCTGTTCCGGCTTACGTAGACTATATAAAGTTGTTTCTATTATTGTTTTCATATTATTAAATTGGTGGGATTATTAATAAAAAATTCTTCATTTATCATCACCGTACTTTTCTGTCTTATTTAATAAAAAATTGCAGCCTCCGCACAAATTGACCGTTTTGGGTTTGCGCTACGCTTCGGATCAAAATTTAAATACCATTTTGTTTTAATTTTTATCCGGATTCATTAATTGTACCGTATCATCCTATGATTTGCTACTAATTATATAATTGATACTCTTGTATTGTGGTTGTGATTCATAATGTGATTCAACATCTCTTCTGATAGAGTTTGGTGGCTTGTTTTTTTGGCATTTCTATTTCTTATGTCAATACAACGTATTCGTTACAACTGCTTATCGGTTAGGTGTCACGTTGTACGAATGTAAATAAACAAGTTCTATTGCAATCTTCCACAGTCCTGAAATGTCACAAAATGATTAAAGGTTATAGTCAGAATGACATCCCTTGTTTGGAACCGGATTAATCGTCAAAGCTCACACACCCTCTTCATTTTCCTTAGAACATCGAACCAAAGTCTAGTCAGCTACATCATCTCATTTGATCAGCTACATCATCCCTTTTTATCTCCACGACTATATTATTTAAATATCCCACTATCAATTCTGATAGTAAGATTATACAAGAGATTATTTCAGATTTGGCTTTGATAAAAATAATCAGTTGGTTTCGGAATTCGATATTTCTCTTCCGGTTATTTTTTCATATTTTCTTCCTTTTCCCCTCAGAAGGAATTTAATAGTTGCGAAAAACGAGCAGCATTCTTTTTATTTTCCGATTGATGATTACGTTCATTAAATGTGAAGTTAGTACTCAATTATATCCCCCTAAAGGAGACATTAGTTAGATAAGGAATTATCAGATATACAAGATCTTTTTAATTAAATTAAATTAATTTTTTACTGTATTAAAAAACTATACCATTCATATATAAATAAAGTTTATGTAAAAAGTGCATGAGTAGATACTAGAGACTTACTAAACCTACTGATCCTTCTTAACCTTCTTCTTTTCTCTATTACGTTTGGGAACTCTGGCAGCCCAATAGAAAATAATTGTCAAGATGATATTGATACCAATGAAAGAGACAAATATACCAAAGTTTCTCCATCTTTGTGAAAAGTGTGCATTGACACTGGTCAAAAAGACATTAGTAGAACCCATTTGACAGAATTGACATCCTGAAGTTGCATTAATATCAGTCAAATAACCACCTGCGAAACTCATGTATGGTGCCATATAGCTTCCACATGTCTCACCACTTGGAGGATTGAAGACTAATAACTCTTCTTCGGCACAAATGACGTTGGTATTAGCTAATCCGGTGGCTAAAATTCCTTGCATTAAGTAAGTGAATGGATTGGCTCTATACATGAAAATCCAGAATCTTGGTAAAATCTCGGGACCAGCTAATACACCACAGAAATTTAAGCACAAACTTGACAATATAGTAGCCAAATTAACTGCATTATCGGCTACTTCTATGAAGGATAAACATAATTGACCCATGGATGTAGCATAAACTAAAAATGCTGTTAAGAACATCCACATCAAAACACCACGTGAATTAACTTGATCAGTAGGTATGGCATTCCTATATAATCCAACAGGATAATACCAACAGAAAAATGAAATCGCGCCACAAACAATTTGGAATGGGATTTCAGATGTGATTTGTCCTGTAATGAATGCAAACCATGAATAAGTTCTGGATGGTGCTTCTCTTACTTCATAAAGATCTCTTTGAATGATGAAATATGGAGCCATTTGTTGAATTAAAGTGTTGAAAACAATCAAGTACATGAAGATAGCAAACATTTGATTCTGCAATCCTTGCATAGAATTATCTGCCATGAAGAATGAAAACCCATTGAATAAAGCAGAAGAAACAATTAAAAACACTTTTGAATAAATATAACTGGGTGATCTCCATTTTTCTTGAAGAACTCTCCATGAAACAATTAAATACTGTCTCCAGATCGGAGCAGCATATTTCAAATGAGCTTCAGCGGAAGTATCTCTTGGTAAATGTACTAATTCTCTCTCCATTTTATCTAATTCTATTTGAGCGTCTCTAAATTCATCAGAATTTCTCCAAACTTCAAAATAATCTTGTTTAGCATGGGAACCTGGAGCAGCTCCAACAACTTCTAACATCCATTCAGCAGGATTAGCTTCTGGGGGACATGGGTCAGCACCGTACTTCTCGAAATATTTGATCAATGAACTACATTCATCACCTAAATCTCCGAAATAAACAGTCTGACCTCCCAGTTGCAAAAACAATAATCTATCAAATTCTTTCAATAATAAAGCTGATGGTTGATGGATAGTACATAAAATAGCTTGTCCATGATCGGCTAATTTTCTCATCAACTTACAAATAGACCAAGCAGTTTGCGAATCTAAACCAGAAGTTGGTTCATCTAAGAATAATAATAATTTAGGTTTGGAAACTAATTCAACACCAATAGTCAATCTCTTTCTTTGTTCAACATTCAATCCTTCACCGGCAACACCAACAATAGCATCTGCATATTCAGTCATTTCTAATAAATCAATAATGTATTCAACATAATCATTCTTTTCGGAAATTGGAACAGAAGCTGGTTGTCTCAAGTAAGCAGAAAATCTAAATGCTTCTCTGACTGTTGAGGTTGGTAAATGTAAATCTTGTTGTTGGACGTAACCAATGGATCTTTGGAATGAACTATCTAAGGAATGCCCATTGACCATTCTAACACCATCCGTAATAACACCAGTAGTAACTCTTTCTGATAAACAATTCAATAATGTAGTCTTACCAGCACCAGAAGCACCCATCAAAGCAGTGATTTGTCCTGGTTTGACCCATCCATCAACTTGATTCAATATAGTACGATCTTCCTTTTTAATCCTGATCTGGTATGTTAAATCTCTCCAGTGGAAAATATCATTTGATGATGGCAAACTATTGTCATTGACTTTGTTATCAGGTTTGGTGGACTCAATTTGATCTCCAAGTGGAACCTTCTCATTAGCAAGGTTTTCAGCATCTTTGATTTTCTTTTGCTGTTTATATTTCTTTAAAGAACCCTTAAGGAATAAGACAATTTCACCCTTTTGCATAGCACCTTTGTTATACTCTGTTAAACCGATATAGACGAATAAGAACACAACAACATAAGCAACGGCAATGCCCCAGTTTCTCCATCTATGAGAGTGGAAATAACTGTAACTTTCAGCTAAATAAGTGGTTCCCAGGACGACAGGGGATCCTGCAACAGAACCAACAGTGTTACAAACAAAAGTACCAGGATCTAAATTTGAATAACCAGGACCAGCAGGAACTTTGGTTGAACAAGTGAATTCACGACCGTAGAATTCATTTACCATTAATGATTCGAAAACATATCCTACTGGGTTGATATAACTGATCCATCTAGACCATCCTAACATCTTTGGAACTGGAATAGCAAAACCGGTATAAATGATCATAGCTAATAACATAACGGTAGCAGGAGTCATAGCACTGGCTAAAGTATTTGCAATTGAACCAATTGCACGGAAAATATGGGACATTACTAATGTACAGGTGAAACACATTAACAAATAAAAGAAGAAAGCACCTGGTTCACGTCTGAAATGAACCATAAAATAAAAGACAAGATTGAATGAGAAAGCAACACATAGTTTGACCGGTAATTGAGTAATAATACCCGCTAGAGCATCAGCAGAAGGTCTATAAAGAGCGTATTTCTTATGTTTCTCCACAATAGGTCTTGAAATAAACACCAACATGATTTCTAAAACGGAGGAAAATGCATTAAATAACACTGCAAAAAACATTGCAGCACCACGATAATAGAAGGAGGAAGTGGTTTCTTGCAAGTTAAAAAACACTGATGATAGAATTAAACCCATGACGAAATTACCACATATGGAACCTATTGCAATTGAAGGATCACCTTTTAATTGAAGAATATTTCTTCCCATAAGATACCGTACTTGCATGAAGAATGAAACAGTGTATGGAGATTTGGGGGAGATGTTTTTGGATTGACGAGCAACATGTGAATCGTGGTATGATTGTTTGGAGTTGTTGACTTCGACATCAATAAAATGTTGATCGATTTCATTAATTAATGATTTATATTCTGGTGATTTTCTCCAATAAGCCTCGAACTCTTCAGCAGTGTTTGGTACTTTATATTCAAATCCTTGTCTTGGGATTCTTTCAGTTGGGTTTGTTAATGAGGTTAAGAAATCTGCTGTGGTTTGTCTTTGTGGATAATCCCATCCCATATTAACGAAATATTCTTTGGCCTTATCAGCCTTACCGAAAAAGATTTGATATCCTTCATAAAGAACAACAACGTTATCGAATAAATCATATGCATCTTGTGAACATTGATAAATAGCAATTAATGGTGTAGCTTCTAAAATAGTAGCAGATTTCTTTAAAGCTCTGATGAACTCTAATGCAGTAGCGGCATCCAACCCTCTAGTGGCATTATCCCAACATTGTAAATTGGCACCACAAAGAGATACTTCAGCAATTGAGACTCTCTTTCTTTCACCACCAGAGACACCTCTCACAAACTCGTTACCAACGTTAGTATCTCTTGTATGAGATAAACCATACGTTGCCATATATACACTAGCCATGTGTTTAGCGTATGTTTCTCTATCGACTCCTAATCCTCTATTGTGTGGAGTTCTTAAACGAGCGGCAAACTCTAATGTATTACCAACAGATAAATGAGGGAAATGAACATCGGTTTCTGCGGAGTAGACCACGTCACCACGGTGATGTTTTTGAATATCTTCTGGAGTTAATCCATCGTATGTGATTCTTGATTCTTCACCAATTTGGAATCCATAAGTATTACAAGCAATGGTTTTTAACAAAGTAGAACAACCAGAACCAGGACGACCTAATACAACTGTGACTTCACCTGGTTTCATTATGGCATCCATTGATTTTAAAATATTGAAGTAACGAGAATCATCTTTCTTTTGAGTTGATCTAAGAGCTTCAACGGTTGTTTTCCAAAGAGCATTAGTGACAGTTGGTTGGTAATCTGAGTCGACGGCCACACCGTAAGCTCTTAAATCACGATAAGCAATTCCTAATTTCGATGGTTTATAATAATCAGGATCTGAATCGAATAATTTTCTTAAATTCTTAACCCAAAATTTGGCATCGAATGAATCTGAGTATGGGTTTAATCTATCATTTATATCGTCATCGTTATATGGAGACACACCTGGGATTTGGGACATATGAGATAGATATCTAATTAAACCATTTGACGATTTATCTTCATTTAGTTGAAAGTCTTCAGCTCCTCCAGTATTTGACAGTATTGAATCATGAGTTAAAGTTCTAGCCAATTCTTGAACACTTTTGGCAGTTGCATCATTAAAGCCTTGGAATTCGTTAACGGTGCTATTTGAGGACAAGCCATCTTTGCCAAACTTCGACTTTCCTGGCGTTGGTAATTTTTCAATGTCATGATCTTCACTCGAATCATTTCCTATGGAATCGTTCGATATGGAATTTTCAGAAGACATGATATAACTATATTAATGGTGAATAAGTAATTTGTTGTAATAACAACTATGATAATAATTAATAGTGATTAATGAAAAGTATAAATATCACTCTATGGTTAAATTAAATTAGTAGATGGAATCAATGACTTATTGAAAGATATTTATATTTGTTTGCGTTTATGATAATGATTTATAATTTATGATTTATAATTTAATATTTTTATATTTCAGTTAGGAATGACGAAAAGAACCAAATATATATTTTATTTCACTTTACTTTTGAATTCTATTTTAAACATATACGCTTGGCAGCAACAAGTGTTAAAGTCATTGTTTATAAACCTAATACATAGCATCTCCTATATCAACACCATTTTCTTGGACTAATGACAATTTTTCCCCAGCAGCTCAGACTACGTAAATAATATTATTATTGGTTAATGTTTTATTATCATGACATTCCCAAAATGAAGCTACAGCCGCATCCGGAACATATTTTAAGACCCATTTTTCTCTCATCCATATCCGATCTCTATATACCCTTTATCTAGATAATGCATTTTTATTAGAGTTCTATGTCTGGAGATATCATATACTCCTTTAAACGTCTCCGAGCAATAGCGAGCAGGTCTGCTGTCGAAAAATGGTTTCCAATTGTTAATTTCCAAAGTCAACTAAGCTTTATGTGAATTTTTGTGTTAAGATTCAATCACATTCTCCAGCCCTAGCTACGTCCCGCTTCTAATCCACAACTCTCTATTTCTTGTTTGCTACTACAGGTCTATCATATTCCACAACTATCTCAACCTCTCTCATGTAGGCTATGATTGTTTGTTATTTCCTAAATGCGTTAGGATACATTAGCTCATGTTCATGGTGCCGTCACTCAAAAAAAGGTTTCTTGTTCGGTCTTACCCGGGAGTCGGAGAGCTGCGAAAAATAAATGGGCTTTTCTCGTATATTAGGAAAGATGGCTAAAGAAAATAAAAAATACGTCAGGGTTTGATCTTGTTGCAACGTTAAACTTGTTTTGGGAAAGTCTGCCAAAAGAGCCCTAACTCCGAATGGAATATGATCTTTATGCCTTACGGAATAAACCCTTTGGAAAACATGTGATTGAAGTATCAAATGTGTAATGCAGCTACAAAATTCATTATTTGTTTTTTATCGTTATATTAAAAAATCACTAAATCTATAGAATTAAATCACATATTATTATAAAAACTAAGTACAAGAAGATGGGTGATATTATTATTTAGAAGTATTAGTTATATACCACCTCAAAAAATTCAACAAAAAACAAACATTGTAAATAAAGTCTAATCTTTTTTAGCCTTCTTTTGTTCTCTGTTTCCTTTTGGAACTCTAGCAAGCCAATATAAAATGATAGTCAAAATGATATTGATGACAATAAATGCCATAAAAATACCGAAATTTCTCCAACGTTGAGAAAAATATGAATTAACAGTAGCCAAATATTGATTTGTAGAATCCATTCTACAGAATGAACAAGCATCTGTAGCATTGACATCAGTTAAATAACCTCCAAAAGTATCAATATATGGTTGCATATAAGCACCACAAGTCTGTCCACTTGGAGGATGGAAATGTAAAAATTCTTCTTTGGCACACAAAACATGAGTATTGGCTAATCCAGTGGATAAAATTGATTGCATTAAATATGTCATTGGATTGCATCTATATAAGAATATCCAAAATCTTGGGAAAAATTCTGGTCCAGCTAAAACACCACAGAAATTGGTACACATGGTGAATAAAAATGTTGATAAGTTACCTGCATTGTCGGGGATTTCATTGAATGATAAACAAAGATGACCCATGGTAGATGTGAATACATAAAATCCAGTGATTAATAACCACATCAAAACACCACGTGAATGAACTTGATCTGTTGGTTCCGCATTCCTATATAATCCAACAGGATAATACCAACAGAAAAATGAGATGGTACCACATGCTATTTGATAGGGAATTTCAGAGGTAATTTGACCAGTAATGAATGCAAACCATGAATAAGTTCTGGATGGCGCTTCTCTAACTTCATAAAGATCTCTTTGTCTAATATATGAAATAAGCATTTGTTGAATTAAAGTAGTAAAAATAATGAAGTAAATGAAAATAGCAAACATTTGATTTTGTAAACCTTGAATCGAATTATTAGCCTTAAAGAATGAAAAACCAACAAAGATAGAGGATGAAATTGCTAAGAATAATTTTGAATAGATATAATTTGGCGATCTCCAAGTTTGTTGAAATGCTCTCCAACTCACAATCAAATATTGTTTGTATAATGTAGCAGCATATTTCAAATGAGCTTCTGGAGATGTATCTCTTGGTAAGTGTACTAATTCAGTTTCCATGGTATCTAATTCGGATTGAATGGAATGATATTCATCTGAATTTCTCCAAACTTCAAAATAATCTTGTTTAGCATGAGAACCTGGAGCAGCTCCAACAACTTGTAACATCCACTCAGCTGGATTAGCTTCGGCTGGACAAGGATCAGCTCCGTACTTCTCGAAGTATTTGATCAATGTGCTACATTCATCACCTAAATCTCCGAAATAAACAGTTCTACCACCTTTTTGTAAGAATAATAACCTATCGAATTCCTTTAATAATAACGCTGATGGTTGATGGATAGTACATAAAATAGCTTGTCCATGATCGGCTAATTTTCTCATCAACTTACAAATAGACCAAGCAGTTTGCGAATCTAAACCAGAAGTTGGTTCATCCAAGAATAATAATAATTTAGGTTTGGAAACTAATTCAACACCAATAGTCAATCTCTTTCTTTGTTCAACGTTCAAACCTTCACCAGGAACACCAACAATAGCATCTGCATAATCAGTCATTTCTAATAAATCAATAATGTATTCAACATAATCATTCTTTTCGGAAATTGGAACGGAAGCTGGTTGTCTCAAGTAAGCTGAAAATCTAAATGCTTCTCTGACTGTTGAGGTTGGTAAATGTAAATCTTGTTGTTGGACGTAACCAATAGATCTTTGGAATGAACTATCTAATGAGTGTCCATTGACCATTCTAACACCATCGGTGATAATACCAGTAGTAACTCTTTCCGATAAACAATTCAATAATGTGGTCTTACCAGCACCAGAAGCACCCATCAAAGCAGTGATTTGTCCTGGCTTGACCCATCCATCAACTTGATTCAAAATGACTCTATCTTCTTTCTTGATCTTAACTTGATAAGTTAAATCTCTCCAGTGGAAAATATCATTTGAGGATGGCAAACTATTATCATTAACTTTGCCTTCTTCTTTAGTTGATTCTAAATGATCTCTGAGTGGAACTTTTTCAGTATTGTTATTTTCAATATCTTTTTGGAGTTGTCTTTGTTGCTTATGCTTCTTCAATGATCCTCTAAGGAATAAAACAATTTCACCCTTTTGCATAGCACCTTTATTGAATTCAGACAAAAATATGTATACGATCAAAAAGAAAATAGCAAAAGATAAAGTAATACCAAAGTTTCTCCATTTATGTGAATTATAATATTGATAACTTTGACTTAAATATTCAGTACCCAGGACATATTCATTACCAGCCACTGATCCAACAATACTACAACTTTGTTCACTAAGTGGAATATTTTCATAACCAGGTCCACTTGGAATAAGTGTTGAACATACAAATTCTTGACCATGGAATTCATTCACCATTAATGATTCAAAGATGTATCCTACTGGGTTGATGTAATGAATCCATTTGGACCATCCTAACATTTTATTAGTTGGAACCACAAATCCAGTATAAATGATCATAGCCAATAAGATAACAGAAGCAGGAGTTAAAGCACCTGCTAATGAATTAGTAACAGAACCAATGGTACGGAAAATATGAGACATGACCAAAGTACATAAGAAACACATCAATAAAAAGTAAAAGAAACGTCCTGCCTCACGTCTGAAATTAATCATGAAGTAGAAGGGAATATTGAAAGCAAGAGCGACAAAAATCTTGGTAGGTAAATCTGTAATGATACTTGCCAAAGCATCAGCTGCAGGACGATAAAGGGCGTATTTCTTATGTTTCTCAACAATAGGTCTGGCTTCGAACAATAACATGATTTCCAAAATGGATGCAAAAGCATTGGATAAAACGGCGAAAAACAATGCAGCTCCACGATAATAGAAGGAAGTTGTATCATGCTTCAAGTTGAAGAAAATTGACGCTAACACCAAACCCATAGCCCCATTACCAAACATAGAGAAGATAGCAATCGACGGATCACCTTTCATACGAAGAATGTTACGACCCATTAAATATCTAACTTGCATGATGAATGAAACAGTGTATGGTGATTTGGGTGAAATGTGATTGGATTGACGGGCAACATGAGATTCATGGTAGATTTGCTTAGTATTTTTAGCTTCCACGTCGATAAAATGTTGATCAATTTCTTTCACTAATACTCTATATTCTGGTGAATTCTTCCAATAAGCTTCAAACTCAACAGCAGTGTTTGGTACTTTATATTCGAATCCAGGTCTAGCAATTCTTTCAGCAGGATTGGTTAATGAAGTTAAGAAATCTGCTGTGGTTTGTCTTTGTGGACATTCCCATCCCATATTAGCGAAATATTCTTTGGCCTTATCACCCTTACCGAAAAAGATTTGATAACCTTCATAGAGAACAACAACATTATCGAATAAATCATATGCATCTTGTGAACATTGATAAATAGCAATTAATGGGGTGGCTTCTAAAATAGTAGCAGATGTCTTCAAAGCTCTGATGAATTCTAATGCAGTAGCGGCATCCAACCCTCTAGTGGCATTATCCCAACATTGTAAATTGGCACCACAAAGAGATACTTCAGCAATTGAGACTCTCTTTCTTTCACCACCAGATACACCTCTAACAAAATCATTACCAACATTGGTGTTTCTAGTGTGTGATAAACCATAGGTGGCCATATATACACTAGACATGTGTTTAGCATATGTTTCTCTGTCAACATCCATTCCTCTATTTTGTGGAGTTCTTAATTTGGATGCGAATTCTAAAGTATCACCAACGGTTAAGTGTGGGAAATGGACATCGGTTTCAGCAGAATATACAACATCACCACGATGATTTTTTTCAACATCTTCTTGTGTTAAACCATCATATGTGATTCTTGATTCTTCACCAATTTGGAATCCATAAGTATTACAAGCAATGGTTTTTAATAAAGTAGAACAACCAGAACCAGGACGACCTAATACGACTGTGACTTCACCAGGTTTCATTATGGCATCCATTGATTTTAAAATATTGAAGTAACGAGAATCATCTTTCTTTTGAGTTGCTCTGAAGCCTTCTACGGATAATTTCCAAATGGCATTACTAACAGTAGATTGATAGTCGGAATCAACAGCCACACCGTAAGCTCTTAAATCACGATAAGCGATACCTAATTTAGATGGTTTATAATAATCTGGGTCTGAATCATATAACTTTCTTAAATTCTTAACCCAATATTTAGCATCGAATGAATCACTATCAGGATTCAATTTTTCATCAGCACTTAATTCATCAATATGATAAGGAGATACACCTGGTATCTGAGACATTTGGGATAAGTATCTGATCAAACCTAAGGAAGATTTATCTTCATTTCCGGCAATATCTGCTGACTCATGGGTTAAACTTCTTGCTAAATTTTGAACATCTCTAGCTGTAGCAGAAGTGAATCCTTGATATTGATTGATGGAATTGTTGGATGAAGAGTTATCTCCATGGTGTTTTGATAAAGATTCCATTTCCAATTCTTCAATTTGAGAATCCTTTCTTAAGGAATCACCAGAAGACATGATTCAAATAGTTATATTAAGCTTATTTTTCTCACTTTTTGGTTGATTCAATTAATGTAGATAAATTTAGAATTTATAGTTGTTGCAAATTTAGAACTTTTTTTCTTAATACAAAAATATGAGAGGCTTGATAAGAGGGTGGGACATATGGATTAATATTTATAACAGCTACCATTAGATAAATACGATTACGAGAAAAGGATTTAGGTGTCGGAGGTAGGTGGATCATATTTTACAGTCTTCCATGCTACAATTTACCATTTGTTGGTGATAACTATCAATGATAAACATCAAAAGGAACATTTTAAAAACCGTTTGGTGCAATTTGGCCTTCCTTTTACTTCATCCTGCCGTACCCATAGTTAATTTTGTTAGTGTTTGGTTATATGCAGGTCGATTCGGAGATTCGGTTTTAAAGACTGGAAAGCGGGATCATAAGTGCAAAAGAATTATCCGATGACCAAACTGTGAACAATATGAATAAGGAATAGTATACATTAGAGCGTACTACTAATGAATATCAATCCAGAATGGATTCCATGCTCTAAGACGGTGATTAAAACGAACTGAGTAATATACTATTAATTGAACTTAATTGATACTTTTACCTACTTCTTGTAAATAATAAGTTGCAAAATGAATCTTGTTGAACCATAAAATGAATCACTACAGATTACATTCCGGATGATGTGATAAAGCTTTAAATGTAACTACTCAACCCGTCTTGTTGGTCTATTTGATTGTCTATTGCGCTACCCTTTTTGTTTGCAGTAATTATTAAGGTCTATTTGTGAATATGTTTACTTTCCGGATAAATTTTTTAATTTTCATCAAAATGATTCAAAGAGTTACCGAGAAATATCTTTTTTTTTTTTTATTTGTAAACAAATCCACAAAATTAGACGCTCAGCCTTTTATTTTTTTTTTGGTTCTGGTTCAATCCGCTGTAAAAAAGCTTTTAGGGCCATAATTGAAGTTTGTTCCGCTATCCGTGCACTCTCTCCATACGATGGAGATAAAAATTTTAAGTTTCTTTCCGTAATCAATTTGTTTTGATTTTCATTTTCTATCATGTTCTATAGAATTCTATTCTAAGTCACTATAGTACATTGCAACCAGGGGGCAACAGGATCGGAAGGAAGGAAGGAATTTACACTGCTTCTCCTCTTAGTTTAGAGTAAGTTGATTCAACCTTTTCAGGTTTGATAATGATTCCTCATTCATTATTTTCGTAATAGCATCTATTGCCTTCAGTTAACGATTTAAGAATCCATACTTTGATAGTCCGTCATCCGATCTCTTAATTTAAATCTCTTCTTCCACTTTATTGCTAATTTTGTATAAATTATAACCAAATAATAAATTTAGAGTTAACATAGATAAATGAGTTATAAAATCTCTCGGAGAGTGACTATCTTACTATAATACATCCTTCTATAATGAGTATAGCCATACTTCATGTTATTTATCCATTACAATGCCTTTATTTGCATTCAAGGTGCCAAATTTAATAAAACCAATCACGTGCAATATCACAACACTCAAATCATGTGACTATTTTTCCATTTTAATTTTTAACTATGGAGATCAAATCTCCTGTATACTAGCGCGTCTCTTTTTATTTGTTGATGTTTACAAAAAATGTATATGCTGTAAATAGTGTGTTTCAAAAGGGTATAGGATTGAATTGGGTTAGATTGGATAAGCGATAGATTCATCAATCATCATATCAGCTACCTGAGATAGTATCACCAAGGATCATCATAAGGTTTCACAGATCAATCGAGTCCAAATGAATGTTTCTAATCATTCTATTGACAGTGAAATACCGCAACTGTCTCTGTTGCAAATACAATCTGAAGCTCTATTAGAGCTGAATCATTTACATCGTTTCATCGATAATTACATATTAAGTTTACTAGAGTCAAGTGAAATCAAACTCAGTAACGAGACCACGTCCGTAAATACCATATTGGCTAGTTTTATCAATAGTCTTAATGAAGATACTTTATTCATTATTATAAAATCTCAACTCAATCAATATTATATCTTTAATGAATTGACTGATTTCGATTCTTTTTATTCTGATAAAACTCAGTGTTCATTGCTTCTATTTATCAAATCTCAAGGCAAATTAAGCTCCAATCATCCCTTATCTCAACAGTTAAACATTTTAACCATTTCATCCACACATAATAAATCTACCAACAATGATACACCAGATGAATCAGACATACCTGATACTGAAGACAATCTGAAAATGGAAATGCTTAATAAACTACGATCTTTGATTAACTTTGGTTTGATTCCATATTTTGATTTATTAACATATAACAATAAAACTTCACAACAAGAGAACAATAACAATGGTGATCATGAATTAGAGAACAAATTCTTGAAAACTAAAAACAAATTTAATGAGTTATCATTATCATTACAACACATTCATCAAAAGATCCAAGTACCAAACTTATTACAAACTATTCATCCAAAAATATATGAAATTTTACAACACCAAGATGAAGATCAAGATGAAGTTGATACAAATTTCTTGAATGAATTGACTACCATCGTTAATAATTGGACAAAACAGATTCAATCAATTACTAAGTTAAGCCATGACCCTTTTGATGATGATTCTATCGTCGATGAAAAGGAATTCTGGGATTCAATGGAATTAACCTCATTATCCATTATTAATCAAATCACAAATTCTCCTGAAATATCAAAGACTATAGAGATTTTAAACAATAATAAGAGATTTCAAGTAACAATCAGTTTCCAAAATGATTCAGGTTTGAATGATAAAGTATCAGTTTCTAAATTATATAATTCGATCCTTAAAGAATTACCAATTTATGAATTAATATCTTGCACCAATGATGATTTAAATAAATTTGAAACAATAATTACTAATCTTTTCAATTATCTTAAATTGAAAGTTAAAAATTTGAATTCATCGATTAAATTAAACAGAATTATAAAGTATATAGAGTTGGTATTGAATGATATCGTTAAAAAGTTGAATTTAATCGTTCTTGAAATGAATTTGACTTCAATTGACTTCAATCGATTCATCAACTTATTCGAAACCAAGATTCTAACTATTTTTGATGTCATTGATAAAAATTTAAAGTTTTTGATTAATTTAATAAGAGAATTATTAAGAAAGAGACAAGAGAAATTCATGATTATTCAGTTTGATAAGACTTCCTTTAATAAATTAATCCAATCCATTGAATCATTCAAAACTTTCAGAATTAATCATCAGAATCTTTTGAACTTATTACTGATAATTCAACAGGAACAAGCAATAGATTCCAGCTTCCATCTTCACTCCCAATTAATCGAGTCTTATAATACATTCATACTATCATCCAACCCATTTGATTTATCTAAACAAGGAGAAATAATATGGTCAATGAACTCAAAGAACTATCTTGAAGTCTATAACAATCTTTACTTAAACATATCCAACATCTTGAATAATCTCTTTAGTCTGTGCCATTCATTTAATCAGTTCTTAATCATTTTCGAAAAATTCAATAATATTGAAATCAATTATTTGATTAATGATGAAATTAAATTAAAGGTATTATCAATAATCAATAATGAGATTGACAACTTAATGGCGTTGAATTTAAATGCTAATTATACGAAATCATTCAACCATTCCCAATCTGACCTTATACGTGGAAGTGAAGCTAATACTTCAATTGTGTCAGAAATTAATTGGAACTTTAGTTTGATTAACAAATTAAATTTTTATTTAATAAAATTGAATGATCTCTTAGGTTCTAACTGGAATAACTATTCAATAGGGGTAAAGATCAATTCAAACATCAATAGTTTATTACAAAAGTTAAACCCCCAATTATTATTTGATAATTGGATAAATCAGGTTTCTAGAACCATGGAAGACTTTGAAGATAGTTGCTTGAATAATTCTACCATATTGAAAATAACTCCTAATGATGAAATTTTGGTCAATTTCGATTTTCAGTTACTTAATTACAATCAGCAAATTAATAAATTAACAAAGTTGAATCATTTCAAAATCCCCATAGAGTTGGTATTGAAATTTAAAAAGATCAATAAGCTATATCCCATTATAATTGATCTTATCGAGGCCATCGAATGTTTCAAACACATCTTTACGGTCGAATTAGTATCAACTGATTATGGTAACAAGTTTGGATTTTTGATCGAGAATGTCAAGGAAAAGATATTAGTCAACTTGAAATCAATCGTCAAAGTCAATTGGAAAGATATTTTGAATGGATTGGATTTATTTTCCATCAAAGATTATAAATTTGATTCTGTCGATAACAATAGTTTGATTGAAGTTAAATCCTTGCATCATTTGAATCAATTCCAATTAGAAATTAGTCATTTATATCAATCCTTGAATGATTTAAACAAATTCAATCAATTCTTACAACAACAGTATTATGAATTAAAAATTTGCCAGTATGAGTTTAAATCGATTCAATCTATTATTGAAACCATTCAATTAAAAATCAATCAAATGTCAATTGATTTGAATAAATCACAATTGAACGAGTTATGCCAGTCAGTCAATTCAGAGCTTGAGTTGATTCTTATTAACAAATGCTATGAACGTTTGGAACCAAGTTTGCCATTATTAGAAGCTCCAGTCGATCACAATCTTGTTTTTGAGGATCAATCATTTATAATCAAACCTGATTTGAGCACAACTAAATCGAACATATTTGATTCTATAAACTCAATTATGTCCGTTATTGAGAACCAGTCTCAGATTTTAACAAGTTTAGAAACTAAACATATGTTTAAAGATATTATAACTAACAAACATAATGAGAAACTCGTCAATCAGATCCATTCAGCCTATTCGAGAGTCGATACCATTATTAATCAATGTCAAGATTACTTTCAAAAATGGAGTCTATTGCAGAATCTTTGGGAATTGAACCTTAATTCTGATGATGATTTACAAAAGATCTTGCCAAGTAATGTCAGTTTTGAAAGCTTAATTGAATCAATTAATTCAGTTGTTAAGTTAAGAGAATTATTTGATAATTCAGAATCAATAATCGTATTCTCCAATTTAATTTCGATTAATTTTCATAACGTTCAATCGAGAGTTATTTTAAAATTTGACACATTTCAAGTTGAATTGATCAAGAAGTTTAGTTCAAGATATCAACAAGAGATTATCAAGGTGCATAATAGTTTGATTAACTGCAAATCACTGCTTGAAATTAAATTAAACTTCTTTACCACTAAAATATCTCAATTGATCTTAGATATCAATAACTACTTGAATTTTAAGATCAATAATTATAAAAAATGGCAATTGAATTTATCAACTTTCAAGCTTGGTCAGACGTTTCTTTTCAAGCATAGATTTAAATTTTCTTCGAGTTGGTTATATGTTGAACAATTGGACAACGATCTTTCCATTATAAATTCTTTACTTTTGAAGAAGGAAAAGCTATTAGAAGATAACTTTGAATTATTAGTACCTAAGATCAAATCAGAAGCGATTAGAATTAATGAATCTATAAAGAGTCTCACCAATGACTGGAATCTGAAACGTCCAATAGCAGCTAACTTGTTGCCCTCTTTGGCATTAGTTGATTTGAATAATTTTCAGACTTCTTGTAATATCTTATCTAATAATGCAGAAGCTTTATCGTTTGTGGCTGATCAATTAAATGTGGCTACAGTTAAGGTTGAATCTTTGTTTGAGATTTCTCATGATATTAAACAATTGAAGTCAGTTTGGTTATCGATTAACACATTATGGGAAGAACTTGAATCAATAAAGGCAACAACTTGGAAGAATGTAGAACCTCCCACGGTACGTCACAAATTGGCTGATCTTTTGAATAATTCACGATTGTTGCCATCAGACGTTAGACAATATTCTGCATTCGAAGAAATTCAGAATCAAATCACTCTTCATTTACAGACATTTTCATTAATTACAGATTTAAGTGGTGAGTCAATGAAACAAAGACATTGGTTGTCTTTGATCAATCAATTGGGCTTATCAGCCGCTAACATTAATGTTGAAAGCTTTACTATTGGTGACGTTTGGAATTTTAATTTTTCATTAAATTTCAATGTGATTACCGCTATAGTAACACAAGCTAATAATGAACAAATTATTGAAAGCAAATTATCCAGCATTCAGAGTGAGTGGATAAATATTCGATATGAATTATTTAATTATGGTGACAAAATAAAGTTGTTAAAGAATTGGGACAAACTCTTTGATCAATGCAATAATGATATTAATTCGTTATCCAGTATGAAGAATTCTCCTTATTATACTAATTTTGAGCTGGAAATTACCGCTTTAGAAGATAAATTGATCAGTTTATTTTCTTTATTGGATGTCTGGATCGAAGTTCAACGTCAATGGGTTTACCTCGATGGTGTCTTTGGTAATGGAAATAGTGATATCAATACACTTTTACCCATTGAATCAAATCGATTCACTAACATTACTTATGAGTATTTCACTTTATTAAAGAGAATTTATAAGAATTCGTTGATTATTGAAGTTTTATCCATTACTGATATTAGCAAAATCTTCATTAACTTTTCTGTGAATTTGAATAAATTACGAAAATCATTATCTGATTACCTTGAAAAGCAAAGAGAATTATTTCCACGATTTTACTTTGTGGGGAATGAAGATTTACTAGATATAATTGGAGGCTCCAATGAAATATCTCGAGTAAACAGGCATCTATCGAAAATGTTTTCTGGTGTTTCATCAGTGGAGTATGATGCAGTAAGTTCTTCAATAACAGCAATCTGGAGTGAGCAAAATGAATGTGTTCAATTATTTAATAGTGTATCTATCAAGCTTAAAAAGCTTCACGAATGGCTTCACGACTTAGACCAGGAGATAAAATTAACTTTGTCCTTATTGGTTAAGCAGGCAATCGGTGAATCCAAAGTCATCATTGACAATGCAACCGATGGAGCAGCTTTGAATTCATTCATTGACAAATTCCCGGCTCAAGTTTTAACAGTTGCATCCCAAATTAATTTTACTACTATGTTGGATGAGAATTTATCAAGCAAGCAGTTCCAAAAGCTCTCAGCATCGTACGATTTGTTCATTAAGCAATTAATCAAAATGATATGTTCCAACATTGTGCCGCTCCAACGAAAGAAAATTGAATACTTGGTAATCGAAATCATCCACCACAGAGATATTTGTGTTGATTTGTCGAATTCAAGGACCAATTCAGAAATTGAGTTTACCAAAAGTATTCAACAATGCTTTTACTACGATGAGAATCACAGAGATGCAAGAAAAGCGCTTGTGGTCAAACAAGCTGATGGCGAGTTCACTTATGGTTTTGAATACTTAGGAATTCCAGAAAAGCTTGCTTATACTCCCTTAATAGAAAAATGCTTCTTAACTATGAGTTTGGCTTTAAAACAAAAACTTGGAGGTTCACCATTTGGTCCTGCTGGTACTGGTAAAACTGAATCCATCAAGGCTTTAGGATGCAATCTCGGTAAAATGGTCATTGTATTTTGTTGTGACGAAACTTTTGATTTCCAATCAATTGGTAGAATTTTTCTAGGGCTCTCAAAAATTGGATGTTGGGGTTGTTTCGATGAATTCAATAGATTGGACGAAAGAGTTCTTTCTTCAATTTCGTCTCAAATCGAAGCAATCGAGAGAGGATTAAAAGACAACAAAGCTAAGGTTGATATAGCAGGCCATCTCACTAATGTGCATAGTGAAGTTGGTATATTTGTCACCATGAACCCTGGTTACGCTGGTAGATCCGAATTGCCGGAGAATTTGAAGAAGCAATTTAGAAGTATTTCAATGGTAGAACCCGATAGAGAAAATATTGTGGAAGTTTTGTTAACCGCCCAAGCATTTTTACATGCTGGAGATATTTCAAAAATCATCGTTCCATTCTTTTTGGAATTAAGTAATGCTACTTCGTCACAGCAACATTATGATTTTGGATTAAGGGCCTTAAAAGCAACTCTTGTTAGATGTGGAGCAAAGAGGCGAGTTTTTAATAATGTAAGCTTAGACTCAAAAGATTTAGAGTTATCTTTACTATTTCAAAGTGTCAAAGAGACAATAGCTCCCAAGTTGATAAAGGAAGATTTGAACATATTAGATACTCTTGAAAAGAAATTTTTCCCTGATGTTGTCTACAATAATTTAGATCTGAAAAGCCTTACAAGCAAAATAAGAGAGTATTACACATATAGAGGTTTATCCTTCGATGACAATTGGATAACAAAAACTTTACAGGTATTCCAAATACAGAGCTCTCATCATGGTATCATGTTAGTTGGTGACTCTGGAACTGGTAAATCAACAGTTTGGAGACTGGTTTTACTGGCTATAGCAATGAAAGAAAACACAGAATCGTTAAGCTACATTATAGATAGTAAAGTCTTATCAAAGGACCAGTTATACGGGTTTTTAGATCCAGTGACTAGAGAATGGACGGATGGATTGTTTACTGAGATACTCCGTAAAATCCGAGACAACTTAAAGGGAGAGTTATCCAAAAAGGTATGGATCGTATTCGATGGTGATATTGATCCGGAATGGGCTGAAAATTTAAATAGTGTTCTTGATGATAACAAGATTCTCACATTATCTAACGGTGAAAGATTAGCTATCCCTCCAAATGTGAGATTGCTATTTGAGGTTGATAACATCAAACACGCTACTCCAGCAACCATCTCTAGATGTGGTATTGTTTGGTTTGATAAGTCATTAGTCTCGCTTGACAGTTTGTTCCAAAAACTAGTATTTAGTTTATCCCACCAGCCATTAGATTTTGAAGAGGAAGTAACCGACCGAGTCGAGGTCCTTCAGATGCAAAAGGAGTTTGTGGATGGCTGTGCGAGTATTCTCAATTCACAACAGCTTAATTTATTGATTAAAGAGGCAGAGAAACTCGAACATATTATGGATTTTACAATATTCCGAGCTTTTGAATCTTTTACTACCTTGCTAAAGTCATACTGTCGCAAATATGTACTATTCCTAATTAAACGTACACAAAATAGCACGGATGCAGTAAATATTCAGAGATATATTGGAAAATGCTTACTACTTTCCGTAGTGTGGGCATTTGCAGGTGACTGTAATCCTCTGGACAGGGAAAAATTCTCCATATTTGCTGCAAACATTGAAGGAGTTTCTTTCCTCGATTCAGTTAAGGGAACTATTTTTGAATTGGATGTAACTTTACCAGATGGGGATTGGAGAAATTGGAATACCCAAGTTCAAGCAATTGAACTAGAACCTCAACATGTCATGAGTCCTTCAACTATTATACCAACCCAAGATACTGTGATACATGAAAATCTAATATACTCAGTCATCAATGAACATGGTCCTTTGTTGCTTTGTGGTCCTCCCGGATCAGGAAAGACTATGTCGCTTTTAGAAGCTTTGAGAAAGTCGCCTAAACTTGAATTGCTTTCTTTAAACTTTTCAAAGGAGATGAGTCCACAATCTTTACTACAATCCATGGAACAAATATGTACATATAAACAGACTGCCAATGGTATCCAGATTTCTCCAGAGAATAAGGGTAAATGGTTAGTAGTATTCTGTGATGAGATTAATCTACCAGCTAATGACCATTATGGTACTCAAAAGGTGATTTCTTTTATGAGACAGATGATAGAACATGGTGGTTTTTGGAGGCCAAAAGATCGACAATGGGTTAGTATATTGAATATTCAATTTGTGGGAGCTTGTAACTCTCCAAAAGATCCAGGACGTAACCCACTCTCAAACAGGTTCATTAGACATTCAACCCTAATTATGGTTGATTATCCTGGAAAAACATCATTGCAACAAATTTATTCTACATTCAATCTTGCGATTTTGAAGTTTGCTCCTGATTTGAGGGGATTTGCTAAATCATTAACTGAAGCCATGATCGAAGTCTATCTTCAAACAAAAGTAAAATTAGGCTTTGCTTTACATAGTCATTATATTTATTCCCCTCGTGAGTTGACTAGATGGACAAGAGGTATGTTAGAGGCTCTAAAATCTCACAATTATACAACATTATCTGCTTTAACTAGGCTCTGGTACCACGAAGGATTAAGGTTATTTTATGATAGATTGGTAGGCGAAGAGGAGAAGCAATGGACAAAAGAATTGTTTGAGCAAGTTATAGATAGTTATTTCCCAAACTTGGACAAACAAATAACATTAAAATCGCCAATATTATATTCCAATTGGCTAACTCTGGAGTACGAACCAGTTATAGAAAGTGATCTAAGAGTGTTTATTATCGAGAAGCTAAGAATTTTCAAAGAGGAGATATGTGAAGTAGATTTGGTATTACATGAAGACCTCCTTGATCATTGTTTAAGAATTGATCGTGTTTTGAGACAACCGCAAGGACATATGATATTAGTTGGTCCAAGTGCTAGTGGGAAGTCAACCTTGACGAAATTTGTTGCTTGGATGAATGGTTTAAAGTTAATCACCTTAAATGTTAACCGAAACTATCAGTTGGCAGACTTTGATTTCACTTTGAGAAATGTTTTGACTAAATGTGCCCGTGGTGAAAAGATATGCTTTATAATAGACGAGTCTAACATTTTAGAGACATCTTTTGTCGAAAGAATGAATACTTTGTTGGCCAATGCCGAAATTCCTGGTTTGTTTGAGGGAGAAGATTATACAGCATTGATGAATTTATGTTTAGAGCAATCACACTCTCAAGGGTTATTGTTGGACTCTAAGGATGAGTTGTATCGTTGGTTTACAGAACAGATTTCTGAAAATTTACATGTCGTATTCAATATAAGTGACACAACAGATGGTTTATCTCCAGCAATTATATCTTCACCAGCACTTTTCAATAGATGTGTACTCAGTTGGATGGGTGACTGGCTGGATATGACATTGATGACATTAGGAACGAAAATGATAGAGCAAGTGCCACTCGATGTTTCTAACTACGCTGTTCCTCAAGGATATAATCCATATCTAACTGTTGAAATCTCTGGGTTCAGAGAAGTAATAATTGATGTTTTGGTTTTCATTCATCGTGTCAGCATAGAACATTCAGTTACTTTAGTTTACAAGAAAACGCCTAGTGATTTCATGAGTTTAGTAAAACAGTTCATAAGCTTGTTCGAAGAAAAACAGTCAAGTTTAGAGGATATACAGCGCCATACTACCACAGGTTTAGATAAATTAAAAGAGGCAGTACTTGTTGTTAATACCTTGAAAGCAGAACTTTCTGAGAAGCAAACGTATTTGGCAGCTAAAGATAAACAGGCAAAGGTAGTTTTAAACAAGATGTTAACTGAGCAAAATGAAGCTGAAAGAAAACATGAATTTTCAGTTGTCACACAGGAAGAATTGTCTAAACAGGAGGTTGAAATAAGAAACAGAAAAGAGGTTGTGTTGCGAGATTTAGAATTAGCAGAGCCTGCAGTTTTAGAAGCGCAAAGAGGAGTTCAAAATATCAAAAAGCAACATTTGACGGAAATTAGAAGTATGTCTAGTCCACCAGATGGTGTTAAGTTGACCATGGAATCTGTCTGCATATTGTTAGGTTACGAAGTGTCAACTTGGAGGGATGTTCAATTAGTGATTAGAAGAGATGATTTTATTCCTAATATCGTGAATTTTGATAACGAACAACATTTGACCTCCGACTTAAGAGCACATATGCAAAAAGCTTATTTATCAAGAAAAGACTTCAACTATGAGGCAGTTCATAGAGCAAGTAAAGCATGTGGTCCGTTACTTCAATGGGTTATTGCTCAGTTAGTATATTCAGAAATTTTGGAAAAAGTAGGTCCTTTAAGAAACGAAGTTAGAGAATTAGAATCTAGAACCAAGCAAACCAGAATTCAGTTAATAGCAATTGATCAAATGATTCAAGAATTGGAAGACGGTATTGAAAAATACAAAGAGGATTATAGTTCTTTAATTAGAGAATCGGAAAATATCAAACTTGAAATGAAAACAGTTGAAAAGAAAATCGAAAGGAGTCTTAAGCTTATCAAAAATTTAACAGGAGAAAGAGAAAGATGGAAATCAAGCATTCTAAGATTCAGCGAATCTAGAGAAAAACTTGTAGGTGATTCTGTTTTAGCGGCTGCTTTTGTAGTATATGCTGGTCTTTATGATGAAAAGGGAAGGGAAAAATTAATGCATTTGTGGCAAACCAAGCTTGATAGTTGTGGTGTTATATATGATCAGGTATTCTCCGTATTTTCTTATTTTTGGAATTCTCGTGATAAGTCGAAGTTGATCCAATTAAACAAAGATGATTTACATAATGAGAATTTTACAATATTGAAAGTAGCGGATATCCCATTACTTATAGATCCAACCTCGAGTATTCTTGATTCAATTAAGTCAGTTTATTCCCCTAAGACAGTGATAATTACAAGTTTCTTAAATGAAGGCTACCTCAAACAACTTGAAAATGCTTTAAGATTCGGCGGAGTTATTATTTTACAAGATGCTGAATACTATGATCCTGCTATTGATTCTATTCTCAGAAAAGATATTGAGAGAAATGGTAGTCGTCTGGTTGTGAAGTTGGGTAAGAATGTGATTGATTACTCGCCAGAATTCAAATTACTCCTACATACTAAAGATGCTGGTGTTAAAATGTTACCTTTTGTTTCTGCAAGGACGACTGTGGTTAACTTTACAGTAACTAGTGGAAGTCTTGAAAATAGATTGTTGAATTTGACATTACAACAAATTAAACCAGAAGTTGAAAAGAAGAGAGTTGAAATTGTTAGATTACAAGGTGAATATCATACCAGGTTACATAATTTGGAGGAAGATTTATTGCTGTCGTTGAATAGTGCTAGCGGAAATTTACTTGACAATGATGATGTTGTCGATAAATTAGAATTCATTAAACAGGATGCATCTGATATCGATGAGAAATTGAATGAGACTGGAAAAGTAGTTGAATTGATTGAAACTAGTAGAATAGAGTATTCTGAATTAGCAAAGCATTCAGCATACTTATTCCATCTTGTTGAGGAATTGAATGGTTTGCATAAACTCTATAAGTTTTCCTTATTAGGATTCATCTCAATATTCAATAATTTATTATTCACAACAGGAAACAAGTTCTCACCTTCAGAATTTGTTAATCAGATATATGTTGAAATTTTCGCCGCCATATCCACATCATTAAAGTCTAACGATAAGATAGCGTTTGCTCTTGGATTGGTACTGGCTTTCAATAAGCTTCTGATTGATGAATCATTTGAAAGGGCGATTTCCTATATCACCAATGCAGTCATAACAGAAAGTAAAGAACAATTAGAGATTGCAATTGATTCATTAGATACAGTAGATGGTAAAACTGTTGAAATACTTTCTCCGTTGGTGAAGAGTTTAGAATCAAGTGAAAAAGGACTTGGATATATCCAAGGGATTACCCTGTTGAGTAAGAATTTATTTTCAGGTAAAGGTGACTACACTTCAAAATATGAACTTAAATATTGGACTCAGAATTTAGTTGATAATAGGTATCCAATTTTATTATTATCACCTGAAGGATTTGAAGGTTCATTTAAAGTACAAGATTTAGCAGATGAAGCAAAGAAGGAATTGAGAGTAATTTCAATGGGATCGAAAGAGAGTCAAGAACTAGCCGATCTAGCTATTCTGACGGGAATTAAAAATGGTGATTGGGTAGTTATTCAGAATGTTCAAATGTCACCAGAATGGTTAAATCATTTGGAACAGAGATTAGAAGGTAAACTGAATTGTCATTCTAACTTTGTATTATTTTTAACCGCCAATTATAATGCCAATATTCCCGTGGGATTAGTTTCAAAATCAAAGATTATCTCGATTGAAAATAAGCCTACTTTCAAGACTATTTTATTTGAAACCTTTAGTTCTATAAATGTTGAGAATGAGAGTAATGAGTTCAAGCATTTATTCTTTTTAACTTGTTGGTTACATTCATTGATTGTGTTAAGGTTGAATTACGCTCCTATGTCATTCAACAAGCAATATGATATTAATGATAGTGATTTTAAATCAGCCGTGTCAGTTTTAAGAAGTATTTCACTTCAAAGAATCCCATGGCAAAAATTGAGTTATATTATAGGAGAAATTACTTATTGTGGTAAAGTTGATATTGAAAGCGATAGAGTATATATTATTGAACGTTCATCATACTTATTTAGAGAAGAATCTACCAATGCTCAATTTAATCTTATTCATAATCAATCCGATAAGTTAATCATTCCTAAATCTAATTATATGGATTGGATTATTCAATTACCTAATGAAACACCACTCTTATGGGTTGATATTGATGAAAAGATTGATTTATCATACAAGAACAAACAAGGAAAATCAGTGGCTGAAAAGTTTATAAGATTAATTAGAAAATAGTTAGAATAAAGTTTTACAGATTACAATAAAATTTAAAATAATTGGTATAGTACAAAATGCCTAAGCAACAATGTGTATTAGGGATAGGTTTGTGTATGAATTATATATATGAAATTTTATTTTAAATTAAATAATTTATTCGTCATCTTCTAAAGTTTGAGCAGCAATACGATCTAAATCTCTTTGACCATTTTCAGAGATTCTTCTACCACCTTTTGGAGAGATTTCTAAAACACCAATCTTTTGTAAAGATTGAACAACTTTTCTGTTGATAGAACCAGAAGCATCAGCGTGTCTGTGAGGTCTGAAACCTCTGTTAATGGCACCACCGTATAATTTGTTTAAAGCACCAACACCAACTTGTTTTCTTAAGTAGATGTGTCTGGCAACAGAAGCGGCTCTTTTGTAAAACCAAGTTTCAGCTTCTTGAGGTGGTAATTCATTACCAGCAGAAGTCTTAACAAGATCAACGTAACCTGGGACTTCTAATTTACCTTGTCTTTGTAAAAATTGAGCGTAAGCATTGATAAAATCTTGAGCTGGAACGTCTCTAAATTAAAAAAATAAATGTTAGTAAATTAAGTTTATATATATAAATAAAGTGAATCTTTGGTTATAGTAGGTAATCTAGTATTAATAAATGGTTTGAAAACTGTTTGTAAATGAATAAAACACACTTACCCCTTGAATTATAGAACTCATCGATGAAAGAAAGTTTACAAATACAAGTTGTAGTAGTAGTGATTTGATGACTATTGAACTTAATACTCCACTTGGACAAGTGAAACATTCCATTATCACCAATGGAGTTCATTCCATGGTAGTTGATAACACTGGATTATACAATCATTGATTTGATTTGATTTGATTTGATTTAATTTGGTTGAAATATGGCAAGAGTAACAATCCCAACATTGAAATACTCTCACTATCCACCACGACAGTTTTCATTCATTCATTCATACAATAGTTTGATCCCCTCTATATTCACTCTCGACATTAAAAGACTTACCTAACGGAAACACCTGGCATTTTGTCTTTGTTTTATTAGTTGTTAAAGGTAAAGATTTAAAAGAGGATTGATGATATCTTCAAAATTGTTTTTTGTATATTGAAATTTTTTTTGTGAGCAAAAGGAAACTGAAAAAAAAAGAGTGTCTGAGAGTGTATATAAAACAGCTTCCCAATTAGGCATGTGAGGCTCAACGTGAAAACAGTCACTCGATCACGTGTAGATGATTTGGCGTGTAGTGTGGTTGCAAAAAAAGACTATTAATTAATTAACTATGTAAAACTTCTAATTATTACTACTACTTCTGATTGTAATACCCTTATCTGCTTTCGTAGAGTAATGTTCCATTTCAGATAATGAACTTTCGACACTCCAGAATGCCCGACTTGTACTATACTCATTATGATGGGATTCATTATTTATATCATTGGGTTGTAATTTAGCTTGTAAGATGGTAGGGAATTCATTAACAGGGGATGGAGGATAACCAAAGAATTCTTCGAATGAATATTCCATATATTTAACATCAAATATTTCTTTATCTCTATACTTTCCTGAATTGGTTGATATCTTATCCCCAATTAAGGCAGAAGCTAATGATTGTTGCCATACTTTACTGGGATTTTCATTATTCTTAAGTATACAATCACGATAAAATGTTCGTTTGAGATGTCCATCAGTTAATGACCAACATGGCATGATTGATACTCGTTCGATTTGTTTCTGATAGATTTGGGTTTGAAATGATACCACACTTAAAATCAAATTAATCGCATTATCTCGACTTTTATTATGAGATTCATTGAATTGAAAATGTAATTCATTAAACCCTCCGGATCTTATGATATCAGATAAGAGTTTAATAGCATTAGTATTTAACATTGGGATTGTGGTTGAATGATCTATTATGGTGAAACATCGACTTGGTCCTGATATCACAGGACTATTTAATGTCTTTAAATTATCAACAAATAATGTATCATCACTAATGGCATTTAATATCTTTAAATCAGTACCAATGAATCTTAACTTTTCAAACTTTTTAATGATTTTGAAAAAGTTTAAACTATTATAAATCAGATTGGAAAGTATTCGAGATGAATCAACATATACATTTCTTCGAAGTTTACGGAAATTAATACTTTCCAATTCGACACAATTATCAGCCATGATTTCTAACAAATTCAACGTTTCATCATAGTTTAATACTTCTTTCGTATCAGTAAATAAGTTGAATTCAATTAGATTAGGAAAATCAGTTTCAAATTTAGTATGGAGTTTCTTCATGGTATCTTCCCATCCATTATATAAAAATATTAAGATCACATCAAGTCTTTTTATGGATGACGGTATATGTTCAACATTACTTAATATATCGCCTCTGATCGAAAGATTAGTCAATTTATTGATTGATAAGAACGAGAACTTGGACGTACTAAAGAATCCTGAATCAAAGATCTTTAATGATGTCACATTAGGAAATAATTGTAAATCAGATCCACTAAGAATAGTTGAATCACTTTCTAAATAAGTAATAAAGTTATTCATACTAAATTGTCTTTGATATCTGCTTTGATGTTTGCCATCACCAATAACCCCCTGTTTAAAACTAGTTCGAGCTAAATCAGATACTAAACAAGTATCAAAATTATTACCTAATAACTCCTTCATAAATTCTCGTTGATATTTCTTCTTATCGGAGAATAACTCACTTTGACCCCAATGACTACCTAGTATCACGTCGATATTGTTTAATCTTATCAAGCTTAAGTTAGTGAATATGAAAGGAGCCAATAATTGTCTTAGCCTTATACAAGTTGATGATAATGCAATTAATTCAAGATAATGACCCACACATCTAACTCTATTTAATTTATAGATGAATTCAGGATATATAAGATCTTTCTGAACAAATCCACTTCGATGAAAGATATTGACATTACCCCTGGTTAACCAATATATCACATTCTCGATGATTTCTAATGGCAAATCAATTAACAGATTATAATCATGATGATGATTTACCCCAGTTTCTCGGAATTGGGTATGACCCGAGATTTGAGACTTCACAACATCCATGATTATTAGTTATTATCTCTCTCCCACCAACGATATATGGTAAAGATCAATACAGATTGTGTAATACAGATTATTGATGTGGTTAAAAAGGTGTGGAGCAATCTGTATGACCTTCCCTTTCAGAGATAAGATAAAAAAACCTGGCGTTATATACAGGAACATATATCCAACAATGGATTCATAAACAGGCATTTAAGGACAGATCTCGTTATCAATTAATAAACTACAATTACAATTGAAGGTGGGTTTAATATTACCTCTTTTGGAAAACCTATATTATTTATTATACATTAAATACAAATTAAAGAGATCGTATAAACTATGAGTGGAAATGAAGGGGAATAGCAAAGCCAAGAACTAATTTAATTAAATTAATTAGCTTAAACTTTGAAACCTCTAGAGTTTCTCTTACCTCTAGCTCTTTCGAATTTTCTACCTTTAGATAAGATTCTTGGAGCCTTATTTTTGTGAGGACCCATACCGAAATGTCTAACGGCTTCTCTGGCGTTTCTTGGACCTCTAACAATTAAAGTGTTTTGACCTTTTGGAGCTCTTAAAGCTAATTGATCTAAAGTGATAACTTCACCACCAGCTTTTAAGATGGTAGCTTTAGCACCGGCGGTGAATCTTAAAGCAGCAACGGTAGCTTTTGGGAATTCTAATAATCTGTTATCATCAGTAACGGTACCAACAACAACAATGGTTTTTTCAGCAGCACCCTTTTGACGTAAAGCTCTAGCAATTCTAGAAACTGAAACAGGTGGTCTGTTAATCTTAGATAAGAATAAAGATTTTAAAATAATCTTGTTGAATGGAGCATCAGTACGACCTATAAAATTAAGTTAGTATTTTATTCAAAAAATCTCTGCTCAGAAGACGCACAATAAACACAAGTTCATTCAATTAATAAATCAAATGGAGGAGTCATGTACTCGCAGAAATTAACCGGACTAGGATATCATAATAGCCATACTTTCAAATGTCGAATCACCGACTATCAAGTAGGCTCTGTTTCTAAATAGAAAGAAATTCCGAGAATGAAATGAACGTATTGGTTAACAAAGTGACGATTACATTAATCAAAAGACAGACTAGTTAAAGTCGGATACATTTCCCACAATCCTTAAGCTTTTCGTTAGTGTGTTTACTAACTGGTAAGGATAGATATAGTAGAAAATGGTACTTTTTGAAAAATTTGTATTGTCAATCTGTAAACTATATTACATCCAATTAATCAAACTCAAGGAACTGAAATCCATAGGATAAGGAACTATTATGGGGCACGGGGCAAACTGGTAATCTGATTAAACACCTCCAAGTAATATTACTACTAAATGGAATTGTGATTTATCATTACATCTTCTTTTGGGGGGTTGAAATGATGATGGATTGTTATTACATACGAGCTAAGAAGGAGTATAATTTGACTAATAATTTTAAGTAGACATTGTCAGACTTTGGAGCTTCTCTGTGACCAGATCTGGCGTGTTGTTTGGTGGTGTGATCTCTACCCATGTTGACTTGATATGATTGATACTGATTTAAAAACAGAAAAGGAAAAGGATAATTGAAAAATTTAATTTGATGATACTTCAATTTAAAATTTTTTGTCTGTCTCTGCGCTCTCAGTGAGAGGAGGAGGAGGAGGAGGAGGAGGAGGAGCCTCACTCAAAAATTTTTTTCAGTGAGGGAGAGGAAGACCAGAAAAAATAGATCACGTGAATGTAGCAGAGTAGTAGGGTATATGACCTAAGAGACCAATCAGGTGACCAATCAGGTGATGATTAGCATGTGACTCACTTTGTGATTGGTAGTTTAAAGATAGAGAGCAGTGTGTGTGAGTGTCTGTTTAGAGTGATATCAATTGCCATCCATATCTACAGTTATAATTTATCAATAAATACCCCCATTTAACAGGCTAATCATCTATAATAGAGTTCAATTAACTTGATTAGAAGTAATAACTACTGTTGATATGACACAGTTGACTCCTATAAGAGGGTTCACCAATACCCCAGTTACCAAAGTAATATGTATTATAACTACCATACTAGCATTATCCATATCAGTATTACAATTGAAACCATATTTAAGATTATCAATCGATCCCTATATCATAGAGTATTTTCAATATTGGAGAATACTAAATTATCAAATATCAGTAGTTAATGAATCAGATTACCTCCTTGTCATCCTTTTATGGTTTCATTTTAAGAATTTAGAACGATTCTATGGTTCAAGAAAGTATTTCTCCATTATAATCTTATTCACATTATATAATGCTGCATTTTGCTTTATCTTTATGAGTTTCGCTCAATTAGGTTTATATTATATCTTATACATTTTAAAATCAGTCATATTTAATATTCCTCCCAATGATAATCAATATCAATCTTTAATCTTTAATGAAATCATCCCCGGTCCATTAGGAATCTTATCATCACTTTATGTTTGTTATGGTACGTTTATACCAGTTTCATATCATTTCAAAATCTTATTATCAAAACCATTTTCATCAACCTCGTCTGATTCAACATCAACTTCTCCAACTCCAACATCTTCCGAGTCACAATCAATAGATAGAACTCCATCAAGTAAAGAATTAACCTTAACCAATCATTTCCCCATTCATATCATCTATACTTTACTATTACTTAACAATGGTGCCAAATCAATTATACCTTGTTTAGTAGGTTTACTTGTAGGAAAATTACATATCTATGAATTATTACCAGGAAGTAAAAATTGGTTATTATCAAGTATAATATTTAGATTCCTTATTAATCCAAGTAAATCAATCAATAATGGTATTGATCTAGTGACAAGAAGATTTGGAGGAGGATACATATCTCTTGGATCAAATGATAATTTAGCATCAAATCAAAATTCTGTAACCACCAATCCTGATCAAATAGAGGAAGCAGAAGAGATATTAGATGATAATGAAAATAGAAATGAAGAACATGAAATAAGAGCCGAAACTCCAGTTAGACCTTTAGGTAGTCAATTCTTGGATACATTTAGGTCATAAGTAGTAGTACGTATTTATATATATTAATGAAATGAAAAGCTATATACAATAATGATATAATTAAGCAGTAACTTTTTCTTTCTTTCTTCTTTCAACATCCCAATTATATAATCTGGCAGTATTCACTTCCATAGTTGTTATATTCTCCTTTAAGAATTCTAAATCTTCCTTTATAATGGCTAATTGATCATTATTCTTCTTTAATCTATCATTCAATAATTCAACAGCTTCATCTAATGGATATTCTAACATAACTTCTGCTCCTAACCATAAATACACTGAATTGAGATTCTCCACATCTATACTTGCTTTATTATATAACGTATCGTTCAATTCATAGTTTGTCACTATGACTTTACCATCTTCATTATCTTCATCTTCTTCATCATCTTCTTCAGCTTTCTTTTCTTTAATATAATTAATGATATCCAAGTTTTTCTCAATATCGGGTATTTTAATATTTAAATCAGCTAATTGTTGTTGTTTGGATAATTCCATATACTTATATTGTTGTAATCTTTCTTGAAATGATTGAATCACATTTTCAAAATCTTGGTCGGGGTTCTTGATAATGGTTTCAACTTTATCTATGAATGGAGCTTCAGGAATACCACGAGGGTTTGTCTTCTTGGGTCTATAAAAATTAAGTTAGTATTGATTCACTAAACACAATTAAAATAGTAATAATACATACTTCAATATTTCAGACATTGTTATGGATGGTATATGATATATTTCAATAATATGTTATCAAATATTTAACTAATCTTTATACTCGAGATCAATAATTTTCAAAAACCTTTGAACTAAAGATGTCGCTTAATTAATGCGACATCAAATAATGTCTCATATTCTAAAATTGCAAAATTCTGTTTATACGCTCTCAAAGTTTACAAACACCAAAATTATACAAGAACAGATGTGTCATTTAGACTATTTACTTATTTAAGTATACTTAAAAACAAATTGTAAGTCTTCATTTCCTAATAACCATTGAGGTTTTGCTTCTTTCTGATTTCAAAAGCATTAAGAACAGATTCAGCAGCTTTAACACCAGATAAAGCCATAGCACCAAAAGTTGGACCCATTCTGTTACTACCATCAACTTCAGCTAATTCCATACCAGCAATAACTAAACCTGGAACAACTTCTCTGGTACCCTTGACAATGGCATCTTCAGCTTTATTCATATCTAAACCTCTCATACCACCTAATTGGAATCCATCTGCACTGGATGCTTGAGTTTGTGGTTTTTGTTCTGCGATTGGTTTGAATCCTTGAGTTATATCCTTTGGAGCTTTACCTAATTCTTCTAATCTCTTGGCTGAGAAAGCACCAAATGGACCATCATGGCCAGTGGTGGATAAAACAACATTACAATTGATGGTGTTTGGATCCATACAGGATTGAGTATCATGGTTTAAAGCAACTAAAGTCCAGTTAGTTACAACACCAGCAATTCTTAATTCACCAGTAATTTCATCACGACGAGTAATTAAATCTTCAACAGCAGTAGAATTGAATAATTTAATATTTGGGAATTGTAAAACTTTAGATAATAAAGTAGACATGAATAAAGCAGCATGTTTAACCACAACATAATCACCTTCATCATCATATTGAATACCTAAATCATCTAAAAATAAATCTGCTGGTTTTCTTAACACCATAGCAGAGAATAATTGACCACCTAACCAACATCCACCACCTGGACTGACAGAAGCTTCAATGATAGCAATTTTTAAATCTGGTCTATTTTTAGCTAAGACATAAGCAGCTGATAAACCGGCGGAACCAGCACCGACAATAACAACATCTGATTCAGTATATTTATCTAAATCAGCAAAATAACGTCTAGTCATAGCTCTTGAAACAGTTGATTCTCTAATTGGAGCAAACTTAAACTTTTCCCAATCAGCAAAACTAACATCACCATTCTTAGCATCTGATTTTAACTTGATGGTTTTATCCTTAGTTACAATTGGAGAGAAAGTGGTAGCGACTGGAGCTGTTTGAAGCATAGTTGGAGGAGTCATTTTAATTTTGATTTTATTTGAGTTTCTGAATTCAATAATGATAATGAAATTGAAATAATATCAAAAAGTTTATTCCTAAGGAGGGGGGGATACGGGTTATTTTATAGACCATTGGTGGATATCACTTTGACCCCTAATTTTGAACACGTTATTTTCATATTTTGTCTTATCCTGTTACATTTTCCTATTGACCCGGGAAACAGGTATCCAATTGCTATGATTTGAATGTGACTACCCCTCCTCCAAGAGGTTTCTAAACAATGAATGTAGTTAATAATTATAAATCAGACATTTTTCAATTTATAGAATTAAAGGATTTCCCTGTAAACGCATATTTTTTGTTGCTCGGTTGCAAATTGTCTCAACTCGTAGAACTGTAAGTGCATGCTCATAACTAAATACTACATCAAAAGTAAATTTATATAGGTTATTTCAATCGAACCATATCTAATTAACCCTCAAAATAATTACCTCTATGAGAATAAAAACTTTATTAAAATATACTATAAACAAGAAATAATGACGTTAAATGCTAAAATTGTTGAAGAATGGCTTAAGAAATCTCAACAATTAAATGTTTGTAATCTACTCCCTATCTACTTTTTTCATTGAATCCATTAAAATATCTTTCCCTAAAGTTTTTAATATGATGTGCTTTTAAACCATTAGATGTTTCACCTGCATAAGATTCGTCTCTCTTAACGTATACCAACAATCTTCTGGACCATTTATTAAATTCTTGTTCGAGGTTGTATATTAATTGTAAATTCTTATGTTGAGGAATTTGATTGATTTCAAAATCATCATTGGCAGTTGGCATCCAAAAAGCCAATCTTCCATCAAGGGGTAATCTATCTGCTGCAAATGTCAATAAATCATCCAATAAATTAGCTAATTCATATGGTTTTTTTGGGGGGATGAAATCTCTTCTTAAATGAGCCTTCTCGCCATCAATGACCACATGCTCCCTACCAGCAGCCTTTTCAGCATTCTTAGCTCCACACACTCTTAATCCTTCTCTGATTCCATAAGGTGGGTCACATACTATGGTATCTATAACGAAATCTGATCTTAATGCATTATTGGTGAAATCCATTGTCATGATATCTATGAAATATAAAGATGTATTATATTGTTTGAAATTAGCCTGTATGTTACAATCATCACTTTTACCCTTCAACATTCTAACATCAATATCAGAACCCATTGGTAATCCACCATAGTTAGCAGCTGCTACTAAGAACGAACCAGTTCCAGCAAATGGATCATATGTGATTTTTCCAGGTGCAACTTGACCAATATTACAAGACACTAAAGATAATTCAGCATCAAATGAAGTTGTTCCAATATACTTTCTAGTTCTAAGATCATATTTATCAAGAATGTTTTCAGTTCTAGCACTTAATTGAATTTGTCTACCTAACCATAAGTTTATTGGAGTTGTAGCTTTTTCACTACCAGTTACTTCATATTCTTCCAATATGGTATATATTTCATCCGGATTATTCATACTAACATGACCAGTAAATGCCATAAATGAAAATGATTCTATTAATTTGACTTTTTGTCTATTACTTCTACTTCCTTTGTAGCCTATGAAATTGAATCGGAATGAATTTTCTTTAAATATTTCAAATTTATCACTGCTTATTTGTTTAACGTTTTCTTGTAATTCTTCAACCGTCTTCCCATGACCCCATAATTCATATATCCCTTTACTTAACACTGATCTTTCCATTATTTTACGAGCTTGATCATCATTTTCTAATTGAACTATAAGAAATGGATTTGATTCATCGTGATGACTTAAATCTAACGGTATATTATATAAATCTGCTAATGACTCGAGTTCTGGTCTCCTGAAGTTAGGATATGCTTGAGCGAAGTATATCAAATAATCTTTCATATCTCGATATGTTGTTGTTGCAAGGTATATATCAGATCTATCTACTAGTTAAATGTCATCTCTAACTTTTTTTAATTTTTTTTTTTGGTTTGCGGCTCAGAATTTTTCACTGCTAAATTTGCGGTTGATAAATTAATAGTTGCAATTATCTTATCTCGATTGATAACAAGATTTGTTTAGGTTATTCAACTTTAATGAGACCAACTCGAGCTTATTCATTAGAATAAGGGTTGAATTAGTCATAATACTGTTTCATCTAATATAGTATTTTCTATCAACGGTTACTCTACTTATTATTACAGATCCATCATATGGTGGAATAGTCCTAGTTCACTCTCTACACACCAATATTAAAAGTGGCAATTAGACTTTGAGTTCGTTTTAGAACATATAAAGATATACTACTACTAGTTAACTAGGTCAAATAAGTGATATAATATAGATTATATTAATCTATAATTAATTGACAAATTGTCGTGTACTTTGTCCAAATCCACCAAGGCATCAACAATTCTAAAAATGGGCACTGAAAAAAAAATTGGACAACACTTCCTTTTGAAATCATATTCCCAATATCAAAACGATCAATCAATCAAAATAAGAGTGTGTCATATCATCATTTCTTTCATTTGTATCCCGTCGATTACCTATAATTCCAAAAGTAAGTAAGATTAAGATACGAATCAATTTGAAATCGATTTTTTAAAAAAAAAGAGAATTTGACATATCAAAAAAAGCTCAATTAAAGAATAAATCAAATTAGTTTATATTGTTACATATCGTATTAGAGTTAGTATTTCATACATAGCTTTTTTTTGTTTAGCATCCACATATAGTTCAATAATAAACTAAATATTATTCTAAAAAACCATTTATAACAAGATTTAACGTACTACGTATATTTAGTTATTTTAGTTTAGGATTAAAAAAAAAAGCAAGTTCCCCTCCCTTCATTCATTCCTTATACATATACATAGAATAGATTATTATAATGAGTTACGAAGACGACGAAGCTCTTTTCGAAGACATTTATGGTGATGATGACGCTGAAGAAAAGCAAACATCAACTACAGCTCCTGCTGCTGTGGAAGAAACCAAACCTGAAGTTGCAGCCGAAGTGACTCCTGCAGAACCAGCTCAGCCAGCATCTACCATTGTTACTACTGCCGCTGAAGTACCACAACCGCCACCACAACAAGCTCAAGCAACTACTGCTAATCCAACTTCTCAATTGCCACCACCACCACCAACCGGTATTCCTCAAGGTGCTGCTGTTCCGGGATTTGATCCTTCAAATTTCCCAGTTCCTCCAAATATGGGTGGATTTCCTGGTGTGCCCCAATTCGATCCAAGTACTGGTCAACCATTACCTCCACCACCTCCTCCAGCTTCTACTGGTGTACAACAACACTTGCCTTCAAATGTAGGAAAGGAAAGCGGTAAAATGTTCGTCGGTGGTCTTAACTGGGATACTACTGAAGAAGGTATGGTTGAATATTTCTCAAAGTATGGGGAAGTTATCGATTACACTATCATGAAAGATAGTAATACTGGTAGATCTAGAGGTTTTGGTTTCTTAACATTTAAAGATCCATCTTCAGTCGATGAAGTTATAAAAGTTGATCATATTTTAGATGGTAAGTTAATTGATCCAAAAAGAGCAATTGCTAGAGAAGAACAAGATAAAGTGGGTAAAATCTTCGTTGGTGGTATTGATCCAATGGTTAATGAAAAGGATTTTAATGATTTCTTTTCTCAATTTGGTAGTATTATCGATGCTCAATTAATGATCGATAAAGATACTGGTAGATCAAGAGGGTTTGGTTTTATTACTTATGATTCTCCAGATGCCGTTGATAGAGTGACTGTTAATAAATATTTAACTTTGAAAGGTAAAGCTATGGAAGTCAAGCGTGCTGAACCAAGAGGTCAACATCAGCAAAATCAAATTAATGCTCAACAGCAACAACAACTGCAACAACAACAATATAACTATGGCTATGGAGCTTCTCAATATGGTCAACAGCAACAATATCCACAAGCAACTCCTCAAATGACCCCAGAAATGATGCAATATTATCAAAGAATGCAACAATGGTATATGTATCAACAACAAGCTGCTGCTGCCCAAGCAGCTGGTCAACCATTCCCAACTCAACAAGCTGGTGTACTTCCTGTTGAAGGTGTTCAACCACCAATTTCTGGTTCATCAGACAGTCAACCATCACAACCTTTAAACCCACAAGCTCAAAGCGATGATATTGAATCAGAAGCAAGTGGGGATTATGGAAGAGGTGATAGTAACGATGGTTATAACGGTGGTTCTGATAGTCCACATAGAGATCAAAGAAGACTTAATTTACCAAGAGGTCCAAGAAGAGCTCCTCCAACTGGTCCTTCAGGTGGTAGAGGTGGATCCAGTGGTGGAAGAGGTCGTGGTGGTTTCAATAGAAGAAGTAGAGGATACCATCCTTACAGAGGTGACAGAGGTGGTAGAAGATAAACCCATTCAATGTAGTATTTATCTATAAAAAGAAAATTTCTATCTTATATAATTAATAAAAAAAGTTTTTCTATTTACGTCTTTTACTAGGACGAGCATTCTTGGCTCTCTTGTTTTCTTTTAACTGTCTTGCCTTCCTAATTTGTTCTGTAGTCTTTATTTCTTGTTGTTGACCGGCTCTATTGTAACCCTTGACAGATACACCGGACTCAAGAGCTTTATCAACCTTCTTCTTTTGTTTGAAATAATCATCTCTGTACTTATCAGGTAATTTAGGGGCAGCAACTTTCTTATGTTGGAACCTTTGGTTGTTAGTACCATTTCCATTTGAAGCTTCAAGAGATCCAACTTTAGCTGGTTGTAAGTTTCTCTTTTTCTTCCAATCATCGAATCTACCGGATTTATAGGTGGCAGGAATCTTTTGACCACTTTCACCAATGATATATTTCTTACCGTCAGAAGTAGAATTGATATATTTACCCTTCTTTCTGTCCCATTTCATGATTTGTTGATTCTTTTTGTTATTATCTGTATCATCGTTGTTGAAATCAAATGTGGCCTTAGCAGCATCATTGGCAAATGAGTTGGATAATTGTAATTGTTGATCTTGAATTAATGAAGCTGGAGCATAATGACTGATAAAGAAATTTGGATCTCTGAAGGACTTTTTCTCTTTCTTCTTAGATTCTATAATATCATCGGCATCTTCGAATGTTGATCTCAATTCATCTTCATTAACATTATATCCCGTTTCACCTTCAGCTTGTAAGACTTCATCTTCTAAACCATGGGTTAATCCAGCAATTCTTTCCTTTTGTAACAATTCCTTTTTCTCTCTGGCTTTTCTTTGGATTGGAGCAAGTTGTCTTCTTCTTTTATTCATGAAATCAACTAAATTATTATCTTCATCTTCACCACTAGCATGCTTGGCATTGTTTCTTTTACTGAATTCAAAAACAGTTTCCTTAACGTTTCTATTCAATAATTTATTTAAAAATTCTTGTTTTTCTTTTTCTAAATCAGGACCAAATAATAAATGTTGACCATCCCATCTGTCAGTTTCAAATATTTCCTTTGATCTCTTTAATGATTCAGCTGAAGCAGCTTGACGAGTTCTATAATATAATTTTTCGGCTTTGAATGTAACATCCTTAACTAATTGTAAATCATAATTATGTTTTACTAAATTCTCAAATAATTCTTGGAAAGTTTCTAATGATAAACGTGGAACTGAGCCAAGAACTAACCTATCAGTATATGATACAGGAGGTGAAATACCTGTGATTTTTGCTTTTTCTTCGTACATGGAAGTCAATAATATCTTCTTACCTAAGAATAATTCCAAATCTAATAAATAAGGTAATTCTTTTTCATTTATGATGGAATAAGCCCAACCTTTATTACCAGCTCTGGCAGTTCTACCAACTCTATGAATGAAAATTTTAGAAGATGCTGGGAAAGTGAAGTTGATAACATTAGCTAAAACCGGAATATCGATACCTCTAGCAGCAACATCAGTAACCACTAAGATATTTGTTACACCAATTCTAAATTGATATAATTGGTTCTTTCTAGCATGTTGATCTAAAGTACCGTAAATGTATGACACTAAGTAACCAGCATCTCTTAATAATTGATAGATATATTCTACATGATGTTTAGTTGGAACAAATACAATGGTTGAATGCTCGGATGGTAATTGATTTGCAGGTGGTAATCTTTCCTTTTTAAACTTTCTCTTTTTAGTTTTATCACGATTTTCTTCTTCTTCATCTTCTTCATTGGATTTTTTGTTCAAATCCAGTAACTTTTTTAATTGTTCTTTAGTTCCTAAAGGTATCTTTATAACTTCTTGTATTATATATAATAAGTTGGCTTCTCTTTCTTGTCTCTTGGTAGTAAAATATGCCATTTGTAAATTATCACTTATTTTTGAATCAGCATCTAATCTGACCAACACAGGACTAGTTAATCCAGCTTTAGCGAAATCGACTAATGAACGGGGTAAAGTAGCTGAGAATAAAAGGGATTGTCTTGAACTTGGTAAACTTGCCAATAATTCATTTAATTGTTCCGCAAACCCCATTTCGAATAATCTATCAGCTTCATCAAAAATTATACATTCTACTGATTTTAAATCTAATTCCATTTCGACTTTTAAATGCAAGAATCTACCAGGAGTGGCAACGATAATATCTGGATTAGATAAGACTGAGGAGAATTGTTCTTCTAATGAATCACCACCGATTAATACAACGGATTTCAAATCGGTATTCTTTGTGAACTCTCTGACTTGTTTAAATGTTTGTAATGCTAATTCTCTTGAAGGTGATAAGATAACAGCTCTGACACCAACTCTAGCACTATGATTTTTCAATCTTTCAATCATTGGTAATGTGAAGGCAGCAGTTTTACCACTACCGGTTCTAGCCATACCAACAACATCTCTACCTTCCATAATAAGAGGAATAGTCTTCCTTTGAATTGGAGTAGGTTGTCTATAACCTTTCTTTATAACGTTAGTCATTAAGAATTTTGAGAACCCAAAGGATTGAAATGAACCAGCTTTAGCTTTTTTAACATCAGGGTTATTATTTGCAAAATATGATGAAATGTCTTTGAGATCATCGTTATCATTATTTTGGTTATTTTTTTCATCACCTTCATCATCAGACATCTCCAATGAAGGGAATGGAGTACTGGCTTTGTTAACAACCTTTTGTTTCTTTTGTTTTGGTTCTTCCTTGTCTACTTCATCGTCCGATTCAATTATATCTTGGATTTCTTCATCTTGAGAATATGATTCAGAATCTGAACCTGATTCGATATCAGACTCATCGCCATTCAAAGTTAAGGCTCCAGCAATATCGTAATCTTCTTCTTGATCTGACATAATGTATTGAAATTGCCTTATTATATATTAATTCAAGCTATATATCTACATACTTAATTATTCAAAATTAAATTTTTTTATGATGCTCATCCTAACTCTGATATTTCCTGCATATCACTTGTATACTGCATATAAATGGTTGATTAAAAACTGCTAGCAAACAGAGAGAGTGAGAAAAAAAGATGGAGGGAGCGTAGAGAGAGAAGTTGCAATTGAATGCAAAATTGACTTCTTCAAATCGGCGAAGATAACAATTTCGTTTGAGTTCAATGAATGGAGGAAACTAGATTCAGTATAAGGAAACCAAATACTTGAAGTTTATGGGCCCATAATAAGTGTAATAACGAGAGATTCAGGTTTAGTGTGTATTAGGTACTGACAATGATCAACCCAAGATCAGCGACAATAATTATTTTAAGGGATGGTTTACAATAATGATGTAATGGCGATTATGTAATTAGTTGTCTGGTACTAAATGGTATAAATACTTAAAACTAAACTAGAGAGGACTAGTCAAGTACGATCTTATGCATACTATAAAATGATAATTCTTATCCGCATAGTGTTAGTGATCGGATTAGAAAATTATTATTATTTAAATAAAAAATGTCTGATTTCAGCAGAAACAGTAGTTAATTATTATTCATTCGTAAAAGATCATCATTCATATTCATTATTAGTTATAGTTTCAGATAAGAGACTTATAGATTTGATTTAGCTCTTATTGCATACTCAAAAGTGCAAAACAATCCCTGCAGCAATCGTGTTACCTGAGTTATGAACTTGTGTACAGTCTTCGTAACCGTCAGTATCTTACTGATACGAATTTCATAAAAACTCGGCTTGAAGTGAATGTTAGTATATTTCTACTTGATGAAATTTAATGAATTATATCTGGCATGTGATATTATTAACTGTAAATCGAGAGCATCATTTTGTGGTAACAGGTACATGATACTCTTAAAATGAAAATCCTGAGGACTAGACTTCATAATTTGAAATTTTAGTAAAGGAAAACATGACCTCATGATTACAGGGACTGAACCCTGTTGAATATTACATTAACATTCTTTTAATCATAACCCAATAAATATGTTGCGCTGTATGTCGCCTCGTTTGCAATTTAACTATTTTATCTATATAAAAAAAGTGAGACTACTTGAAATTTTCAACCGTTATTTTTTATTACCGTAAATTTAAGAGAAATGGAAACGGATATCCAATATAGACATTTCGTAGAAGTTAGCCCCCGTCCCATGAAACCGACTTGAAATTCTGAGTGAGATCTTTGCACGGGTTTGTTGACAATGTATTTTAACCTCCTTACCTAGAATTTTAGACCGTAACTAGTGATTTATGGATTTGAAATTAAGGTTGGTTGTAGCTGTCAATTAAGAATGTTTCCAGTAAATTCACTTCTGTGATAATGCTTCTATTGCAGCAGAGGTTAAATTAATTACTTGACAGTTTAGAACACGCACTATCATAGCTCATAATGTAATTTATCACCTTGTCTACGAATTTCAACATACAAATTTCTTTATCCGCTTTTTTGTCATATCTGATGTTTGCCCAGTTTACTAGCCTCAATCACTTTGAGGCGCGCAAACTCACAGCAAAGAAAATTTTCTCATGTAATTTTTTCTTCCTAGCGAGCGAGCGAGCGAAATAAATTTTATAGCTTAGCGGGGTTGTGTTCAGGAGGAACGGAAAATAAATAAAAAATATACGGAGAAGGAGAATATCTGGATTATTCAAAGTTTATGAATTATGCAAAAAATCCAACCCCTAACAGCATTTTAAATATTTATCTTGGTTTTTAATATTGTAAGTAAATCATGGTGTGACTCAAGACGATTTTAAATTCAAAAATTAATTAATTATCCTATGATAGTCGCAGTCACCGGTACGCATATATGCATATACTAATCGATTTATAGATATAACAGCAAACATTTCTTAGCTAAATAGTCGAGACATATAAACAAACATTGAAGTATGGTAATTTCCTTGATACAAACGAGTAACGCAATTAGACGCCTCATAGAAGTATAGACTCCTTAAAAAACAGAAAACTAGCTAATTCTTGACATAATAGAGACAATAGAACGGTTAACAATGGCACAAAGAGGCTCCACCTTCACTGGTTAACGATCAACTCTAACAATAATTACAATTAGTTAGTCTTGAAGAGGATAAATTAGAGTTGCAATAAGGTTAGATGTGATAGTAGCTGGTTCACGAAAATGTTCGTATAAATAACGCAAATATAAATCAAAAATTTAGAAGTATGTACGGACTTAATACCGAATATAATAGTTACAAATTCCAAACTTAAAATAAAGGAAAGGGGATATATGAATCGCGAAATGGATTATCCATATGACAGTATGGCATTCTTTACATTCGATGAAAAGCATGGAAGTCATGAATTAAAATGGTACGATTTTTGTTGGTCCAATGGAAGTTCAAACATTGAGGCACATCTCGGGGACAAAGAAAACAATATTGCAAATCAATTCCAGTTTAATCTTCACTGCAGCATATTCATAGTTAGGTTAACTCAAGCAAGTCAGGTCGCGTACATTATAATGAGCTTACATAAATCAAATATCTCATTATAAACTTAATAATTGATAGTTAATAATTGACAACTTACAGAATTATAAGGATCAATTATACATTTTGATTACAGTACATATGAAACGAAACGAAAGGGAAGAATAGATTTAAAAATAAGCTGATAACATATCGTAGATGTTGCAGATAAAATTCAATTAATGACTCTATATTAATTTTTTTCCATAGTAAATTTCGTTAAATTATTCATGACATCATGAACATTTTCTGAGAAAAAATGTCTGATTTTTTATTAATGCGTAACAAAAGTGGAACAAAAATTGTCTGCATGTAAAGGAGGTGTCGTTTTGCAGTATATGTGCGATGAATAAAATCAAGAAGTATAGTAAGAGACAAGCGTTATGTATAGGTATCAAAGTTTGGTAAAGGAAGATAAACCTTAGCGGCTGATGCCTAAGCTAACCTTCTATTTTGCTCGCAGAATTCAAGAAAATGTAGCTATAGAGACGTCAGTGGCCTAGAGCGTCAACGCAATGATCGTAATTATTTACCATTGTTCCGAACCTTTAGGCAATTCAAGTAGAAAACTGTATCCAAGCAACTTAGCTTTTAAAATTATTATTATTTCTTGATTGGAAATATGTTTCCGCTTCAATTGAGTTTAGAATTATATCAAAACCACTTTTCCGCTTTTGTATAACTAGTATATTTTATAATTTAGTGTCTTTTCGTTTTAGCTTTTTCGATTTGCAAATTTATTGTTAGTTTTTTTTTGTTTTATATAATTGAGAACAATACCTGAAATGATTGCATGTACAAATTAAAATTCGGTTTCGCTTTTACTTTTTCTTACATTATTTTTTAAAATTATTGTATGCACCTTTATTCATCTAACTTGTAAAATTATTACTGTTTTAAGAGAAGGAAAAATACCCCGAATTGGGAATTGATTTTTTTTGTGTACAGAAAATCATCTTGCATTAATCTCTCTTTTTTTCTCTTCTTCTTCTTCTTCTTTAAAAGTTTCCCTTGTTTCAGTCGGTCTAGAGTGGTAGTAAAATAGATCTGGTTCCACTAAAGCAATCAAAAAATCAAATATTAAAAACCTTACAACGTAGGTTATGTGTTACTAATAATTTAGATTGCGTCGCTAAACAATTGACTAAACGAAAATATTAGGAAAAGCTAGTTGAAATACCGCCTCCTGCCGCCCCTGATCTATCAGGTTCGAAACCAGATAATTTGTCTGTTAACAATGGTTACAACTAGCCATATGTGAGTTAGAAAATAATGAACTTGAGCGCCTGTAAATCAGACAAAATTTTATTATATAAATTTAAGAACAAAAATATTATGGTCAACTTCTAGCCATTTTTGTTTTTTCTCTCCTTATCACTAGCCTTAGTTGTTGACTTCTCGGGCAATTAGTAACGATATCTTTGTGTTAAACATAGAAAATAATAGAACACTAAAAAATAAACTATCAAGGAAATCATCATAGACATAAGTTCTGTATTCTTACAAGGCTAAACATAATGTTTAGAAGAAAATAATCAGCGTTTAAAATAAACTTATAAAATAAAATACAATGAGAATTAAACAATAATAATAGCACACTGAAGCTGAAGTCCAGATCAAAATATATTATTTTGAATATATTTTCGTTAATAAACTAGGTTTTCAAAACTTAGTCTTAGCTATCACCTGATTACTAAAAAACCTTAAATTTTAAGTTTTACAATATAAATCTTCTAAATTTAAGACTAAATTTAACAAAGAACCCCCTAGCTACCATCTAACCGATATAAGGCTTTTGGAAAACTATCCACAGCAACTAAAACTCGGCACATATATTTATTCATACTGTTATACTTTTGATGATCTGTCTTTACAGGTGGTTGCCTTAACAAAGGTTAGATTAACAATTTTATTCGGCTATAGGGGAGGCCACCATTCGGCATTTAGGGTAACAAAAAAAAGTAATTAGGATGTTAGGGGGAGTTCAAGTTCCCGACAAAAAAAATAATGTACATAACGAAGGCAGAGTAATTGAATTGTTCGATTGTACATTACCGTAATTAGGGAAAATACCCATCAAGTTAATATTACTAATTATTTGTATGATTTTTTGGAGGTGGTTAAACTTGCCTGATAGTTAGGTAAGCACACTTTGCTTTTTTTTTATTTTTGATCTCTGCTTAGAAAATTGATAATCTCTCATTTACATTGCCTATACATTTACGATCAGAATAATTTACAATTTTGAAGTTCCTTTTTCCATTGTATAAGCAACTATATTTCCTATCTCTTTTAGGTAGTTTTTAAGTAAAGCATAGTTGGATGGGTCAGCGGGGTATATCAATCTACAATGCTGTTTGGAATTAGTAATTAGTATAAGCTCAAAAGTCATGAACTGTCAGATTTTGATAACCTATAGTCTA